CCGAACGGGCCACGTTTCCTGTATTCACACACAACAGCAATCTGTCTTCAGCATGGCTTGTTGCTGGGTGTGAAGACAGCCACTGTAGCGAGTGGAGCAAGGGATCTGTAGCGCAGACCAGCAAAAAGAGGAGCAGCAGCCATTTAAGATGCAGATCTATAGTATTTGCAGACAAGGCTATTAATGTGTACTCATCCTGCCTCCTTTTCTAGGTTTTATGTGGGACAAGGGGTTTCACCCTCATAAGTCACCTGCAAACATCCTGGGTATCCCCACCGCTGTGTCCATCTACTTTGTCTTCCTGCAGAGGAGCCGTGAAGGCAACCAAGAGCAAAAGAGTGCTGCAATCTTTTTACAGGCACAGGCAGGGAAAGATGCAACTGAGGCACAGTGAGAGGAGCAGTCCCCAGGGACGTGGAGGCCAAGTAGGGATGCCCCTGCTCTCTCCATTGCTTGCTGTGCATTTCTGATTTCAGAGCCATTTTGCATCATGCACCACACATCTTTTCCCCTGGTATATCAGCTCTCAACCTTTAAAAATAGTTACCTAGAAAGAGATTTCTTCAGCCCACATATCTACTTAGCTATTAATAGTTTGCACAGAAAACAGCAGTGTTTACTTCTGAGTACCGATCTGTAGGTTCTAGCTGTTATCCCATCAGCCTACAACCCTGGCACTTTAAATATACGTTTAAATTATGCCATGGTACAGTATCACAGCTAACAAGCAGCTGGCAAGTTTTCTAGCTACGTTATGACACTCACTGACCAGATCACTTTGTGAAGCTGACTATGGGGTGCTTCAATCTAAAATGTTGTCTTGTAAACACTCTGCCTCAATCATGGAATTTTATGGAGGATCTGGAAATAGTTATGAAAAAACTAGGCTCTAGGTGAGGTTCAGTGACTACCAAGCACAGGGGAAGTACAGGACTTTAGAATAGGCTAGAGACAGAGTAGAGTAGTTTAGAGTCAGAAACTGGACCTGATGGATTAGAAGAAAGGCCCACAATGTAACCTAGTATCCTGTTTCCAGGGGAGGCTAGCCAGATGTTTTTGGAATACCCACAAGTATTTATTTATTTAAAGCATTTATATGCTATTTGATTAGCGTAACAAGTAAGGCATGACTGCAACACCTGCATCCCAAGATTTATTTCTCTGCATCTTACATTCCAAGGTGCATCACCTGTGAACAAGGAGATGCCTTGAAGCTAGCAGGTGCTGGCAGACCGGCCCTCTGTGTCTGTTGAGCTCCTCCTAAAGGCCAGTGGCTAGCAAAACATACTGTGGCAGCAGGTTCCATAAATGCATTGTGTAAGGAGATAGGCGCTGCCCCAGGACGGAAACAAGAGCGTATGGCTACTAATGGTACCAGGACAGAAGGCGGAACTAAGCTGCAGGTCAATTTCATCTGTACAGTTCTATCCTTACAAGGGTGAGCTGAGACATCCATGGAAACACTACTGCATTTGTGTCTGTCAATGATGCATCGTGTAAAAGTAGCAAGAGGGTACTAGTGCATTTCTAAAGCAGTCCTCCTTTATGCATAAAGGATATCACTCCAGTCTTGCAGAATGATCTCTAGAGCCTTGGAGATGTTGCATTCCAATCATGGCAACTCACTGTATTTTTAGCTCAGCTAATGTGCCAGAGATAGTCTTGCCAGTTCTCCATATTTAGCAACTTTGACCACAGCAGACCGGAGCAATCCAAGGGTTGTGCCTCTGGTTCCTTTCCTCATTTAGGGTAAGTTGCCTACCTTGTTGTATCTACTAGCAAGTTATCTGTATTAGAAAAAGCAAAGAAAGAAATGCTGTCTTAAACATTTTACTTGATGAGACAAAGCCACAAGAAAACTGCTGATGCTGTATGTCAGAGGAATCTAACACATTTCTTGCAGTTTAAGACATTTTTTTTTAAAAAGCTGCCTTACTTAAGCAAAGTTAATTGATTTAAGAATTCTCTGTGTACAGATTAAACATGAAGGGTGATGAATTTAGTTGAGCTAAACAGTGATTCTTTCAACTGACCTTGGTGTTCTCTAGCAAATGTGAATACTACGGTTAGGACCATTAACTAATGTAAATAAAGAAAAGTCGATCAAATTATATAACCAGCGATTTGCCTTCAGTAGTGAATTATTTTCCAGAAAAAAACATTCCTGACCATGCTTTGTAGCTACATACGCTCAAACCATGTTACTGAGGCCCAAATCCAATGGACTGAATAGTACCGGATGTTGGCTGGTTGGGGCCCCCTCTGGATTTAAATCCCTGCTCTACCATGTGGTCCGGTTCAGTCAGTCAGTCTTGGTCTAATCCCTGGGTTGTTGTGAGCAAGGCCAGTCCTAGAATGCACTACAGTGAAGGGACCTGCTACACTGGGGATTGATTGAAGGTAGGAACTGGAGTCGGACTGGTACAGCAAGGCTTTTTTAAAGTGCCGGTTGGCCTTAGCACCATTTGAGTCCTGCTTGATCACCACTGATCTTGAGGATCTCCAACTCCATATGTCCCCTGGCTGCTTCACATTATCCAGAAAGCTTCAAGTTCAACAGTCCATCACAAGAGAGCCAGAGTGGTGTAGTGGTTAAGAGCATGGGACTGGGACTCAGACGATCTGGGTTCTAGTCCCCGCTCGGCCATGGAGCCAACTGGGTGACTTTGGGCCAGTCACAGACTCGCGGCCCAACCTACCTCACAGGGTTGTTGTTGTGGGGATAAGATGGAGGAGGAGAATGATGTAAGCTGCCTTGAGTCCTTTGAGGAAAAAGGCAGGATATAAATAGAAAAATAAATAAATAAATAAATAAATAAATAATAAATAATAAACCTTCCAGGATATCTAACCCAAAGCTGGGGTAGATTGGCCTCCCCCAATCTGGCATCCTCCAGATGTGCTAGATGACAACTTCCATAAATTTCTAGCTGACATGGGAATTGTAGTCCTACCCACCTGGAGGGTGTCAGGTTGGGGAAATAGATGATGAAATGACAGAAAAGTTTGTGTATGTGCTGAACTGAGATTAGAGGAGAATTTGTTGTTATCATTATTACATTTCTTTCCTGCTTTTTTTCTTTTGTGAACAGCCCAAGGTGGCTTAGTTAGCTCCATTTTATCCCCACAACAACAACAACCCTGTGAGGTAGGCTAGGTTGAGAGTGAGTGACTGGCCCAAAGAAACCCTGTAAGCTTTGTGGCTGAATGGAGACTAGAACCTGAATCTCCCAAGTCCCCAGTCCAACACTGTGGCCCCCTCACCACACAGGAAGGCAAAGCAGTCCTGTCTCTGCCTCCAGTTAGTAGGGAGGAATACAGATTTTGCTGGTAGTAGTGGGGATTATTATTATTATTATTATTATTATTATTATTATTATTATTATTATTAGAACGTTTCTATGCCGCCCCTTGCCAAAGCCTCGGGGTGGCTTACAACACAATAAAATACAATACAATATAAAAATAACAATATAAAATTAAAATTAATAATATAAAATAAATAAAAAATATAAATGATATAAAAGAAGTTATAAAAGAAAAGTTATAAAAGAAAAGAAAAGAAGGATCATTTTGTCCTCAGAGAAGAGTTTGTTTCAGATTCACAGGGTAACAGTGGGATGTTTCCCCTCATCTGAGATGATGGCAACTCTGCCCTGGTGTTTTTACGCACAACTTGCAGTGATTGTTGTGAGTGCCAGTAAGCACAGTTTCCATCTGAACATTGTAATCCCTTCCTCTAAGGCTGAACTTCCCGAAAACTCCCGCCTGCACAGATACATACAATTTCCTTCTTTCTGTTCTGTTTTCTTTGCCTTTTCACATAACTAAAACAACTTCTGAGCCTTTCCTGCCATTCTCGTGCGTGATGATAACAATGCCAATTAGAAAATGGAAGGTAGTTATTTTTAAATCAAGAAAATTCCTTAATCTTTCTAGAGTTTACATTTGCATTACAAACCCAAAAGAAATATTTCTGGTTTCATTTGTGTGAAACTACCTTATAAGGACTACTCTTACAAGCAGTTTTTCGGTCAGTCAGAACTCTTACTATTTTGAAACTCAGTTTGTGCTCAGGGAAAAAAAATCAACTGAACAAATTGCCATTAGTAGTTGAGTTGTGTGTGATGTATCTCTGTCTGTACAGGTTTCCTATGTTTTCTAACTGTGGGAGACGGGAACTAGGTGAATTTAAAATCACTGCTTACTTTTGTAAAAAAGAAATGCTAGCAGAGACATTTGCTGATTTACACTCTGCATTTTCGATCTGGGCCAAGCACAACCTGTTGTGGATATTGCAGCTTGCTTAAAACAGTGGGTTTCCTTTTCTGAGTTCTTGTCAAAAGAAAGCTCATGTGGAGTTCTTTCTCTCTGCCAGTTCACTTGGCAGGGCTCTTTCCTTGAATTCTTCTCTGTTTCTCAGTTCCCATGACCATAATCCATAATCAAGTTTTCCTCTCACTTTAGAAGTGCCCACTTTTGCTTCAAGTAGGCATACCTGGAATCCCTCAGGTGTTTCTAAAATGGGTTTTTGAGCTTTCCGTGAATGGTGGGGACTGGCTTTACCCGACTGTAATTATCCTGTTCAATGATTGGTATATTTTTAAGTTGCTACCGCATTATAGGCATGCCATAGTATTTGCAAGTGACTTTCAGTATGAAGTGACATTTGTGCTGGAGGAGAGATCTGTGTACAGAGACAAAAAGGTTCAAGCAGTGGACTGAATAGAATGGATTCCTGCAACTCTAACTTGGTAAATGCGGCTAAAAACTAGAAGTGAAAAACTTGTGGAGATACAAAACAAGCATGTATATGTTTGTCTCTTTGTATTTTTATTTTTCAATGTTCTACAAGTACTCTCCCAAAGAAGCCATGGCACATAATTTCTGTCATTTCTCCCCACAACATCCTAAAGGTGATAATTCCAAAGTGAGTCTATGTGTCATTCTGTCTGATTTAGTAAGAATTGTCCCTGAATGATGTTTTTGTTTCTCATCAGTGCTACACCTGGAAGGATCCCTCCTGGTGTTTGAAGATATCTTCAAACTGGTGGCATTCTACTGTGTCAGTAGGTAAGTTGAGATGAAGAGTCCCACCTCTCCTCCACCAGACTGCTCACTTGCTTGCACTGAATCCTTTGTCACTTATGGCAACCGGGCTGAAGCGTAAATACAAAGCTGGAATCAGTTCACATAGAGTAGGAAAGTAGGCAAAGTTGTAGGACCCCACTCGTAACAGTGTAATTGGCAGGGCTTTGGCAGGGGATGCCCACACTGTTTCGTTGCTTGAGGCACAAATACAAGATAGCCTTGGCCCCCTCATAGCTACTACACTAGCCGTTCGATCCCTCTTCAGCAGTGGCAGTGAGGCAGCATCTTCTACTCCACCCGTAGGGAGCAAACTAGCTTGGATGGTAGAGGGCAGGCCGTGAGGCCCTCAGCTCTCCGTTCCAACATCTTGCTTCCACCTCCTAGTATCTGCCACCTGAGGAAACCCACTAGGTCTGCCTGTGGTGGGGCTGACCGTGTTTTAGGCCTGGCCTACCCAGCAGGTTGGGGGGGGGGGTGCTCAGGCAGTGGAACATCTGGGTGGAGTCACATGTATGAACGCCTGGGAGGTTCTGCATACAAAGCTTGTGCTCCATAACTGAGCGGTTGCTCTTCCCCAAGACAGAGGGTTGATGTTACATTGCCAGTGCCTTCCCTAGTAAGTGGAGAAGGCAGGAGGGCTGGCACGACCCTTACTGGGGAACACAGAAAGTTGCCTGCTGGCTGATGGTCCACTACGTTCAGTACTGTCAACTATACCGACCGGCAGCAGCTGTCCCACATTTCAGACCATGGTGTTTCCCAGCCCTACCTGCGATGCTGTGGACTGAATGTGGGACCTTTGCTACACGGGAGCCTCCTTGCTAAGCTGTGGCTTGTCCCCAGTGAAATAACACGGGGCTCAACAGTTGGCCTGGGCTGCTTCATGAAGCTTATGTGACTGAGGTAACTTGACAGACCCTGTTGAGCACAGCATTTTCCTGTTTACTTCACCACTGCCACCACATTTTGCTAAAAATACCAAACAAACAAACCCAAAAAGGCAAACGATGGCATAGAGTTTCCCAGATAACATGTCTGAGAGAACTCATGACAGGTGCCAGTTCTCGGCCTTCTTTCCGCATATTCTGGGAGCAGTGCTAAAAAAGATCCATCCTATGATGTCTTATTCCTCAGATTTCGGCTGCTGCTTGCAAAGGAGGAGGGAAACAATGAGCACTTTTGAAGTCTTTGTTCACCAAAGGCTAACGGAGAGACAAGAAGCTATCACTGGCCATGGGCGATCTGAGCATTGCACTTCTGAACTGCTCACTGAAGAAATTCCAGTGAGATTGCCAAAGACCCTTTTTTATAGATTGTCCAGGACAGAAAAGGTATACTTTACTTCTGGCACCAACTCTCTAGCACATCCTGCACATGCAGCTGCCCTCCAGATGTGTTGGACTACATCTCCCATCATTTCCTTGATGGAATGAAAGTGATGGGTGCTGCAGTCCAACATACCTGCAAGTCTCCAGGCTGAGGAAAGCTGCTTTTTAGTGTCCTTCTCAGTTCATTTTTCAGTTTGAAAAATTTATTTCCCGAAGACTCTTGGTAAAAGAGAAAGGCAAATGAGTGCATGGATTTATTTAGAGAATTAAACCTTGCAAAATATTAAGAAACAACTGCATCCTTCCCTATCATGGTGCCCTCCAGGTGTTTTGGACCTGAACTCCCAAGCCAGTGTGGCTAATAGCCAGGAATTCTGGGAGTTCTGCTCCATGGTGTGGTGAATCCAGCTGTCTTTAAATGAGGCTCTGCCTCAAGAAGGCAGTGCAAAGTGTTTTGGTTTCGAGGAGGCAAGTGCTAGCTAAGCATGGGGTGGGGTGCTGAGAGTGTCCTTCATGAGTTCATCTCTTAGCCATTTTGGGATCTGCAGAAGCAGCCAGTTTGCTCAACACTCGTGGCAGTCATGTGAAGAAGGAAAAAGACTTCCTGCGGGGTAAAGAAACTACAACCAAGCTCTATAAATGGAGACTGCTAATCAAAACTTGCATTTTAAGCTGTTTTTAAAGAATTGTATTTGACATCATTTTGGAAATGAAGCAACAGCAATGCTTCTCTTTGGACTGCGTGGCCTTTGGCAATAGTCACCTGTGTCTTATGTCCCCTGAAAGACATGTGCTTCTGTACATGGCCACCCCAGAACTCAACTCTCCCATTCTGGTGTTTGGGGACAGGCACTCTGCACATGGTTAGAGATCTCCTTTTTTAAAACTTATTTCCTCTCCATCTCACCCTTCCTCCAGGTAGATTGGTGTGAGGTCCCCCTTCCAAACTTTACCCTCACAACAGCTCTGGAGGGCAAGTTAGGTTGAATTTTTTTTTTTTTAGGTTGAAATTTTTTATTTAAATAAAAACATACTACAAGTTAGGCAAGAGACAGCATGCCCAAGGCCACCTGGTGACTTCTGTAGCTGAGCAGTGCTTGGAATCCAACTCCCCTGCACCGACATCTTAGCTACTGTGCCATACTAATTGTCGTGAGCTAGGCGTCCCCTCCCAAACGAGGCAGGCACTTCAGCAATAATTAGAAGAGTCTTATTCCAAACAGCAACAACGTATTCACAAGCCTCGAAACACACACTCCAGGTGGAAAGTTGACCCCTCGCTCTGCCCCTGTTCACCCAAAGCGCTGTTTATGAACCCTCCGAGGCCGATCTCTGGACGGGGGCCTGCTGTGGAAGTGGGCACGCTGACGCTCCTCCCATTGAGCCCCTAAGTGGTCCAGTGTGTCGACAGGCCCTTGCGTCCACGTCTCCAGGGGTGTCACGTTCTCCTCCTGAGAGCCCCTCCCCAGCCTGTTCTCTGCCTGCTTCTTCCCACCTCCAGGAGTGGGAGGGGGCTCAGTGGTTGCCCTTGAAGCGCTTTGATCCAGAGCTGGCTCAGCGGGAGAGTTTGGGCAGCTGGGGCCTCGCTAGTCTCAACAACTCCCATATCAGAGTGAGAGCTCTGAGTCACGGCTGGGTCAGCCATCCACTCCCCCTCCTCCGAGTCTGAGCCACCATTCCCACCAGAGCCCTCCGTCTCTTGTGCACGCCTGGGAATCTCATCCAAGCGCACATGCATGACACTGATTTCCTGATATATGCTCCAGGCTTTGATCTGCAAAATATTCTGGGATCGAGTCCGGGTGAGCCTAGTGCCTACCAAAACCTGCATCCATGCTCGTTTCCCACCTTTTCCAGTGGTCTTTGTGAGGAAGATGTTGTTGCGCCTGGCAAAAACCACGTTAGGTGCACTAGGCTTGTGTGACTGCCTTGTATGCACCAAAGAGCTCCATGCCTGATGGGGAATTTTTCTGCACCCTTTCCCTGGTCCAAGGCCATCAACCCATATGCCTATTAATATTAACTTTAAAATGTTCTGGATCAGATATAAACTTCTTTGAAATCACTGCGGTTTTCAGTCTGTTCATAGGCTGCCCCATAACAAAAGTTCTCTAGGAAATTACTTTGCAGAGCAAACATTTCCTCATGCTAGTTTTAAGACAAGAGGGAAGGTCACGTCGAACAATCTGGAAGACTGTTTTTCTGACCTTCCTGACCTGATGCAGCTGTGTTTATTTATTTATTTATTTATTTATTTTTCTTTTTCACTCCTTAGAGATTTGCTTCCCTTTATGCTAAGGCTGCCCCAAGCAATATTGGAGGCCAATAGTGTTAAAGACCTAGAAACCATCTCTAATCTGGGAATAGGTAAGTTGCATTGGAAATATCTTCTTAAGATATGGGAAGTTTAGTGCTTCTCTAAAGACAAGAGCTGTTAGCTAATAGTGGTGCTCTCTGCAAGCATAAAAATGTTCCTGGCTGCCCCTGGAAATCCATTATCGCTCTTGGCTGCTGCACTGTACAAAGTTGCTTCAGCTTGTGCAAAGAACGTCGGAGAGCCCAGCATAAATCTGGGTGTCGGTGTGTCCTAGAGCAGAACTCACACTACACTAACCTCACTGACCATTAGCGTCTTTTATTCCTGACATGAATGCCTCCCCAGCCCCAATTCTTTTTCTATGTTTGCTGCCTGTCATGTGCAACAGGGTTAAAAATGGGTAGAAGTGTCCATTAGAGTAAATGGAGATTTTTTTTTAAAAAATCCTTCCAATTGTTCGGGAAAAACAACTGGAGGAAATTTTAGCCCTCCTTTGCAAGAGCGCTTGTGAACTGAGGCTGCATAAAGTTGCCCCAGAAAGTAAGGCAAGCCTCAGTGATATGCTATGTGATTAATCAAATACTTGACCAAAATATTGAAGGGCAGTCAGAAGACAGTCCTGTTTTTGAAGGTATCCTCTGTTTGAAGGACTGTCCAGTCCAAAGATAAGGACCATACCGAAGGGGAGCAGCAATGTCCTGGGAAGTGGCCCTCGACAACTGCCGCAGGGGCGGGAGGTGGAGCAGGCCACCCATGACATGCGGTCATTCCCTTCTCCCTGTGACAAGGTCCTTTTTCTGTTTCAGTTGCAGTCATTATTCTAAATTTGTCAATTAGCACATGCAGATTCTAGGCAAATCGTGTCCTCTTTTGTCCTCTTTCTTTCCATGTGATAAGTGGCTACTCCAGCCCAGTGTTACGCATGTGCTTTTGCTTGCCACAGTGCTGGCCCCTTTAGGAAATTGATTTTATGTTGCTAGCAGCTGGATAAACCCACTTTCTAGATCAGGGGTGGGCAATTAATTTTCCTATGGGGCCACATGAGAAACTTTGACAGTTGTTAAGGGCCGGACCAATACACTTACAGCTCTGCTCAATATATATCTCTATAAAAACAGTGAAAATGTGGAGCATGGAACAACACTATTTAATGAATATTCACAAACACATTAACATTACATGAAAAGCAATAAATTCAATTCAGTTTAGCAGATCCTTCAAAATAAAAGCAGTGCAGTTGTATTGCTTGCATCTATATTATGACGATATATATTTGCATTGACTCTTAATTTGCCAGTGACCTCATGCGGGCCAGTCAGGGTCAGCCATCGGTCCGGATGTGGTCCGCGGGCTGTACAATGCCCAGGTCTGTTCTAGATCCTTGGAGTGCTTCTTCAGTTTGATTGATCTCTTTTGCAAACATGATATACACTCTTCTTCCTGCAGTCCCAGAGCAGGGTAAAAAAAAATGTGTCTGTAGAAACACTAAAACATCAGCCTCCAAGTAAGCAAAACCCCTAACAACAAAAATAAATATTATTTTAAAAAGGAAGAAGGAAAATGGGAAGAAAAGGAGGTAGGAAATGGTTAGTTCTGCACTGGTTAGGCCTCACTGGGAGTACTGTGTCCTGTACTGGGCACTGCAGCTTAAGAGAAAGCTGGTTCAGAGGAGGGCAAGAAGGATAATCCAGGGACTGGAAACAAAGCCCTATGAGGGGAGAGTGAAAGAACTAGACATGTTTTGCCTCGAGAAGAGAAGAGTGAGGGGAGATATGATCCACTCTTCAGGTATTTGAAAGGCTATCACAAAGAAGAAGAGAAAAAGGCTCTTTTTGATCATCCCGGAGTGCAAGACACAGAATAACAGGCTCAAGTTACAGGAAGTCAGGTTCTGGCGGGACATCAGGAAGAACTTCCTGACTGTTGGAGCAGTATGAGAGTGGAACCAATTACCAAAGAAGGTTGTGGGCTCTTCCACACTAGAGGCATTCAAGATGCAGCTAGACAGACATCTGAGATGAATGGTTTAACTTGCAGCCCTGCACTGAGCAGGGGATTGGGCCCAGTGGTCAACCTCATCGAGAGATGCCAAGAACTGAACCTGAGACTTTCTGCATGCAGACCAGGTGCACAGCACCTGAACAGGGTTCTGTTCCAAGCTTCCCTTTAAGAAAAAGTCACGCTCAAAAAATAGATATACTGAATTGTGCTTTCTTCTTAGCAAAGCCTAATTCACTGGAACAGGGGGGTGATGGCAGACAGAGTGCTTAAGCACACAATCCAGTACAAGATTAGATAGAAAAAACACCAAATAATTCTAATTTCCTGTCTATATTTGCATAGGATTGTGCCTTTTCCAGATGGAAAGCATTCATAATTTACAATGCGTATCTATCGTCAATTTCCACTTCCCCTAGAATCATGCTTTTTTAAGAGTAGGAATTCCCCCATCTTGGAGTGACACTTCCAAAGTATATGCGCATGCTCCTAGGAACAACTCTTGTTCCCACCTCCCTAACATTTGTATTATTCTCTTTTATAGTGAACACCATGGCTGGGTAATTCGTTGTTTCTTTTGTATGTCCTTTTAGTAAAACAGCATATAAATCAATAAACAGATAACAACTAGGAAATAAATCAGAATGCTCAGATATAGTAAGAGATACAGAAAAGGGGTTTCCAGGTACTTGTACAACAGAAGCCAGTAATGAATATAAATCCTGCAATTAGTATGGCACTACTGATCCTTTTAGATCTCCCAGTGGCTTGGATTATGGTGACCATGTGGTCTTAACACTGGAGTGGGAAACCACAGGCCCAAGGACCAAATCAGGCTGTCCAAGTTTCTCTAGTTGGCCACATCCCTTTGGCTGGAAGCTGACTTCCAGATGCCAAGGTGCTATCTCAGCAATAGGTTGTAATGCAATTATTCTAATAGCACTAAATCCTTACAATCTCAATGAAGATCCACAGATAACAGATTACAATGTAGTTCCTCGACCTGAATCTTTTCACACCCTCTATAAAAGAAGACCCAATCAGTTCTGGGTTCAGAACACACAGAATTCACCTATATTCATAGTTCCAGTAAAAGCAGGAAGTTTCCGAGTTACCAAGGCATTGCCGCCAGCAATGAGAGGCCAAGCACAAGAGGAAGTACAACAAACTGAAGAGGAATGGGTTCCAGGGAGCTTTGTTGCAACACTAGTTGATGACGCATCTGTGGACACCCTACCCTCAACCCTGAGACACTCTCTTCTGTAGAGTCGTCTTCCTACTGCCCTGTTCCCACGATAGGCAGCCTTAGTCAAGATGCAGTGCCCTCCATCAGGTCTTCCAGCTGTGGAAGACAGGCTGTTTCATCATCATGAGTCTTGGGTAGGAGATTTGGTATGAGTTCTCAAGTGCCTGGTTTCCCATGGCTGGGCCACAGCTTTCTCATCCGATTCAGAATTGGTGTCACAGACTATGGCTTCCTTGGACAGAGATGGGGTCTCCCCATTCCCTAAGCACCAATTATTCAGTGCTTTCCTGGCTTTTGTCCAGAATTTTCCCCATTCTAAAAGGCTGAACTGCTCTCTCCTAAGGTTTTGCTACTGGCCATAAGAGTTTTAAGCTACGATACGCTGATTTTTTTTTTTTTTTAATTGCCCCCACTGCTTTTGTCTTTGGCCTTAATGATTTGTCTTCAGTCCTACCTACCACTGGCATGTGAGCACCATTTTCAGAGAAGAGCATCTTCTCTGAAATTGAGTTTGGCCTTCAGGATAAAAGATGTTTCACCACCAGGCTTAACCTGAACACAGGTTCCTTTTCTTGTAGACGAGGATAGCCCAACTCACCTAGTAGGCTACTGCCAGAGATCGTGTACTGTTTTGGAGTACAGGGTCAACAAGATGAAGTACTAACTTGTTCTGCCAGCCCACGTTCTGTTCTGGGTTCATCCTATAGGCACTAGTTAAAGATGTGTCCATTAGTGAAGGCTTTAGGGTATAGGCAAGTGCTCTTTTTGTCACCTGATTGCTTCCTTGTGTTAATGTTTTTATATTATTTTATCATATATTTGTTGTTTTAAGAGCATGAGGTTAATACTTTTCAAACGATATACTGTGTGTTATATTGTTTCTTAGCCAGCGTGGTTCTTTGTGAAGAGTAACAGGGTATAAATCACTTGTGCTGTTTCCCCATTGGATGAGAAGAAGCCTGGTAGATCAGACCAAAGCTTCTTCTGGTCCAGCATCCAACCTGCTGCAGTGGAAGATCAGATGTGTTTGGGGAGCCTGCATGGTCATGACATGAACGCTATAGTCCTGGGGTGTCCACCTTACTTCCTACCTGGTTTCTTGGTGCTCCTGGTTTTTATTTTATTTCTTAAGGCTGTTTTCGTTGCGTTTTTAAACCCCGTAACAGTGTTTAACTGGGAAACCGGAATATGGCCAAGTGATATGTCACCCTTCAGCAGCATTTTCTTAAGGAGAGGAGGCACCTTTGGCTTCCACCAATTTTAGGTGGTCCCCAGTCTCTCCTCGTGAAAAGAGGGAAAACATTTAGATGGCCAAAATTAGCTGCCTAAATGTTTTTGAAGTCTAAGGGAGTGTAAAGTCTGTCCTTGCTGCTGCATACCTCCCCTGTTAGATGGGTGGAAGTATGGAAAGTTATGGGCAGCTGTAGAGGACGACCCCAGGCTTCTGCAGAGCAGAAGAAGCATGGAAGTGAAGATTGCCTTCACACACCACCTCCAGGTTTTGAGGGTTCTGGGCATCTCATTGGATTGCATCCTGAGTCTAGCAAGTCTTTTATAGAAGACCCTTTTCAAGTTAACATATGCAAGAAAAAGGAATCACTTTTCCAGGAAATTGGTTTTGAAAATAGGGTGCAAAGCTGCTCTAATTCACAGATATGTTTTCTCCATTAACCACAATTATTCTGCTTGGACAAACTACATTTGTGTACCCTAAATGCCCTTCTGTTCAACTTCTAGCGGTATACAGAAAAAAACTCATTTATGGTAATTCACTGAATATTGAGTACATGTTTTACCTTTGAAAAATGTGGTTCTTCCCATCAATAGCATTTCATTGTTGCTTTAAATGTTTCTCAGAATGTAGGTGAGATAAGGTCAGCTCTGTAGCCACACCCATTTTACAATGACTTCCCTAAACAGAATGCCTGCATATGTTATCTATGTATTCATTATCTGTATATTGCACTTTTGCCCAAAAAGCAAAGAGTACATGGCAACCCTTCTCTTTTGCATCTCCATTTTAGCCTCACAACAATCTAGTGAGGTAGGTTAGGCTCAACTTTATGCTAAGCCCAACTCAAACCTTGGTCCTCTGGTTCCAAGTGCAACACCCTAATCATAATATCACACTGGCTCATAGACTTGTCTAAAGATGTGTTTGCCCTGCCTTGGCTCTTTTCCTATTTTCAGAAAATCACAAGCTCTCCACAAGCTGATGATCTATCAAGAGCCAGGTAGAGCTATTGGGTTTTCTGGGCCAGCTCCTCCATGTTCAGTTCCAGGGGTCATTTTTCAAACTGTGATAAGCACACCCTGAGGTCTCATGTCTGACCCCTGCCATGTAAGCCCCGTCTCATACAGCCAGCGCATGCATGTGAACATAGCTGGCTCGTGTGTCCACTGGCATCCTAGCGTGCACCTGACTCTTCTACACCTGGGTTTTGAACCTGGATTCACAGCTTGTCTTACTTATATCCATATATGCATTCCGAACCATTGCGTCAGGACCCTTTTGTGCCCAACTACTGCATGCCTTTTAAAATATATATTTAAAATGTTTTATATGTGTTTATAGACATGCATGTGCATTCCTTTGCTTATTAAAATAATATCATGAGAGGCTGCAACTTTGTTCTGTGTACTGGGGGAGGATAGGTTGGTAACTGCATGAATGCCATCCAATAGGTACCCACCATCAACAGGTTGGGGTTTTTTTCTGACACATGGGACATGTGTGCTGGACACACTGAATCACCCTGCCTGTAAACAACAGTGGGTTCACCATGGGTTGCCCTCTCTTTTCCCTTGCTTCACCCCTTGTCCTTGCACAGGTATCTCAGAGGACTTCATGGAAGGGTCAAGTTGACTACGTCCCCTGTTCTTTTCCCCTCCTCTTAACCTTTTCTTCAAAGATAATCTTTCTGGCTTGACAGCAAGTTTTTATGCTCTCCTTTTGAGCAACCAGTGGCAGCCCCTTCAACTTGCCCAGGCAGCACATTGGAGGGACTGCCAATGGTTGTCAAACTTTTTTAAAAAATGCACCTGTAATGATTTTTTAAAAAAACAGCTACACCTGCAGAGATGTGCAGTTCCATGAGTGCAACAGCAGAACACCTAAGCTGGGTGATGTCATAGTACAGCAGGTACATGGACAAAGGGGCTCACAATAATTTTTTAAATTGCTTTCTATTGCTGCTTTTCAAAGGCAAGCTGTCAAGGGAAAGCAAAGGTTCAAGGGATCTTTGTTTATGAAAATGGGTCATGAGATTTATACTGTTCTTGCGGAAACATCCTTAACTCTTTTCCTTTTTACCCTGACTGTATTCAAAGTCCTGGGCATTTTGAACTTTCCCCTAGGACACTAGCTGCTTGGGGAAATATACCTTCTTTTCATTGGAAAGAAATTTTGACACCTAGCTGTCAAAATCCAGAGTTGCTTTTAAAATTGGGGTTTTGACAGTGCAATGGAACATACAGCTGTATAAGTCCCTGTCAAAAAATACCTATTTTAAATCTTACCTGTGGTGACACTCTTATATTTTATATATGAGGATTCTATTTGATTTTTTTAAAATTCTAAGACAACATGATCTATTTACATTCAGTGCAATTTAGAACAATACACATTTTCAAGAAATATTGTGCAGGAACTAATAATATCTAGATGTAGAACATGTCAGTCTTCTCCATTCTAATTCTTAGTTATCTTTTGACAGGTTTCTGGGACTCCTCTTTAAATCAAAGGCAAGGACAAAGGTTTACCCATCCTGTGAAAGGCTCTGGTTTCTCCACAACCCCAGCAAAAAAAGTAAAAAACTCCAGCCAGTGTTTTGCAAGCAGCACTAGCAATTGTTCATGTGAAATTGAGCTGTCAATAGGAAATGACAGGCTGTGGTTTGTGAATCCTATTTTTATAGAGGAGAGAAGCAACTGGTTTCTCCCGGATGTTCCTCCTTCAGAGATCAGTAGGAAGAGTCATTCTTTTACTAGCAATATTGTGACAAGACCCCCAAAGAGGTCTCCCAGCCGCCGGCCCCCTCCACCACCACCTCTTCTGCCTGCACAGTCTGAGAAACCTCCCATGACCACTTCTGAAGAGGATCAACTTCAGGTCTTGGACAAAAACCAAACAGAGATGAAAACTGAAGTTAGTAAAGACAAGGAAGATGATGGCCAAGGGTCCTTTTCTCCAGGTAACCCTTCATCCCCAAATTCAAAGAAGAGAGTTCCTCCATCCATTCCACCACGGAGGTGCTTCTCTGAAAGACCTTCAGGAAAGAATTGGTTTGTTAAATCTTCTGAACATCTTATACCGGGCCAGAAACAGCCAGAAAATCATTGGGATGAGAAGGAAAGTTGTACAGACCATCTTCAGTGCTTTGAGACTCCACAAACACTTGAACAGGGGATTAAAAAGAACCCCTCCCCATGTCAAGAAGCAAAAGTGGAGAGTGAGGACAAGAATACACCAGCTGAGCTGCAGAGGAAGCCCTCAAAAAAGCTGATCAGGACTCCAGTTCCACCCCCACGGAAGAAGAGGCTTTCAAGAGAGTCATCCTCTGTCAGCACTTGCCATTCGAAACACAGAAGTGCTAAAGAGTTAGAAATGGTAGACCTTCCAGGAAATGCACAACCACTAGAAAATATTGGTTCTGAGGCAAAAAAGGAATCAAAATTGGACTGTAAGCTTGTCAGCTTATCATCTTCTGAAGGTTCCCATGACTCACTTCATTGTCCAGTAAGCAGCTCAGGGCCCAACACAACCGCTTCTGAACAGGACTCCTATTCTACAAGTAGCACTGAGGATGAGCTGGAGTTAGTGACTAGCCCTTCTGTGAAGAAGACGCGTTCCATGATCCTAGGAAAGGCAAAGCGCCGTCTATCCATGGTCAGTCTGAGCCATGTCTTCACAGCTTTCCTGTCTGCCGACAGGAAGCTCCAAAAAAAGATCGTGGAACTGGCCCAGGACAAAGACTCCTACTTCGGCAACTTGGTGCAGGACTATAAAGTGTACAGTCTGGAGATGATGGCAAGGCAGAGCTCCAGCACTGAGATGCTGCAAGAAATCCGCTTGATGATGACACAGCTGAAGAGCTACTTGATACAAAGCACAGAGCTGAAGTCCTTTCTGGACCAGGCTGTTCATATGGAGGAGCAAGTAGGTGAGTGGATCCAGTTCTGTTCTTTGGAGTACAGCAGAGTGAGGTGAGAATTTGAAATGGGGTCACCACAGGAAATTATTAGGAAAACAGAGACAGCAAGTTCCCCTGTTGGTATATCCAGGCATCTGTTGCAACCCAGGATTTTAGGTTTGCAAAGCAGTCTTGTTTATTCATTTTTTTCTCCTAATATCAACATTTTAAAAAATGGAAACATAATCTGGGTGCAGCAGTGCTGTCAAAAGGCCAGTTGTGGAAACAGTGTTTGTGCACTATGCTTTCCTTGTGTGCCATTTATTTATTTATCCAATTTCTGTGCTGACACATTAGCCATTCTGTGCTGACACACTAGGCATCTGGGTGGCTTAATTTTTCAATTCCATTTGTTTCCTGCTCTTCTTTCAAAGTGTTCAGACTGACATGCCTGAAGATTATCTCATTTTTTAAATGTTAGATGGAAAATAGTCATTAGATCCAGGCCAAAGAGCAAGCATCGGTGCTTCGCACGCCATTGACCATGTCACAATGCTAGAATTCTTACTGGACTTTTCTTCCTATCCTTTTCCATTTCTAGATGCAATCCATTTATTTATTTATTTTTGCATTTATATGCTACCCCCTACTCCAATGGAATTCCTGAGTGGCTGACAACTGCACTACTCTCAGTGTTCAATTTAAAAAAGTGGAGCTGGAATAATAAAGAATTAACAACAAATTTAATAACTGCAGTGAGATTAATTATACTAAGAATTGGAGGGTAAAATATGATTACCAATTGTCTGATTGGTATAAAGAAGTTTGGAATATAGCTATTAATGACAAATAAACATGTGAGATTAAAGTGAGAAAAGGGAATATGGAGAAAAATAAGTTTAATATTATTTGGGGTGTATTTATTGAGTATGTCTTAAAAGGAGGGAAAGTGCCTTCCAGCCTTTGAAAGAATCGTTACAGTTTTGGAAGCGGGGAATTTTCTGAAATGTTTGAAATAGTCCCCCCTCGCTCCCTGATTGCAGCATACATAATTGGTCCTGGTGGTGCGGGACACTGTATTATAAGAATTATTTTAATTGTATGTTTAATTTCGTATGTTTCTATTTCTTTATTTAAGGCGCTTTTGGTTGTATTTTAGATTAAAAATTAATATTTAAAAAATAGATTCAGGCCGTTGCATGAGGTCAATGAAACATAATCACTGGTTTTTTGGTTGGTAAACATGCAGTTTGGTTGGTTGAGAACATGCAGTTCAAACCAAGATTAGGGCTAAAGTGTTTCCCCAAGATCTCTAACTTCTTCAGTTTTAGCACTTTTCCTTACAGACCTTTTCCTTCTTGTTTCAGTTCTATGCTATGTTGAAAGATGACATATTAGATATGAACAGTGTGTGTGCAGACAGAATGCTTGGCCGGGTAGGAAGGAGGAAGCTAGCCTTTCTGGAGAACTGAGTTGTTTCTTTGAAGTGATGCTCATTGGAATTAGTCAACTTGTATATAGCACACCAGATGCTGCTGGGCATTGAGTCAACCCAAGGACCTCTAATTGGCAGAGGATCTATCTGGATCACAGCTATTCAGAGATTAAACCAATTTTGCGCTACACTGAAAGAGTTTTGTACCTTTAAAGGTAGTCCAAAATGTTGTTGTTATACTTATAATAGATGTTGTTATAATAGATGACTGTGGACACTTGGGAAGCAGGTCTTTCAGTTTATTTTTCTACTCCTCCTCGTGAGCAAACTGACATGTGGAAATCAAATGAAGTTTTTTCATGATGGGGAAAACCTTACCTGCTAACTTTCTGCATCTTGGGCTGCTTTTAAAGGCATAAGAACACAACTAGTAAACAGAGTGAGAGAGTGGGAAAACAACTCTTTTTGGAATGAGAGTTTGCATTTCATAATCTCTAGCAATCTTCTTGTCTCACTACCCAACTTTTTGTAGGAATACTTGCTGACTCAGACCCTGTAGAGGTTCCAAAGTATTGTCTAGGCTGCATTTCTATGCACATTTATTTGGTACAAAGTCCTATTGAACTGACTGAGCCTTACCTCCGAGGAAACACTCTTAGGATTGCAGTGTAAGTGCCTTAGCAAAGTCTCCAATACTATGTTGCAAATTAATACTATGGAGAGTGCAATATGCCTTAGAATTGACAAGCCGATTGTGGATTGGATCTCTGTAGGAAGCAGCAGCTTTACCATTGTTATACTTGTATAAAGACAGATGCATCTCACCTATTTAAATCGTTCTGTTGTGGTTCCGTTTCTGCAAAACAGAGCCGATAGACTGGCCACGATCTAAAACAGTTAGGCCTGCTGTTTTGGATTGCGTCCCCTCTGGGGTTGACAACAAGTGCAATTTATATGATGCAATTTGCTCCACTTTTGCAAGTTTGATGAAAATGTGTTTTCTCGTGCGGGCGAGGGAGTGGTGTTTTTGTTCACATGGTTGGTGTTAAGCAAGTATTAGGCAACAGCTTCCCTAAAATAGGAACAGGGGTGCTCTAAACTGCAGAATAGATCTGATGTTGCAGCATCTCTCTTCCTAGGATTCAGCACTTCAAAAGGTTGCACTCAGCATATCTGCAGGAGTTGAAGCAAAGAAGGGTCTTATATGGCTACAAACCTTTTAACGTGCTGTATCACCTAACTTTGGCCCCGTGTGGAGGATCTTTCTAATTTCCTCTTGGAATTCCAGCTGCTCTTTCAAACTAAACTAGCAAAGATCAGGTTCTTGGTCTTTTTACTGAGACTCTCCCCTTCACTGGCAGCTACTACTGTCTGAGAAATAACTTTTCTCCCAACCGTAATGGGATTATCTTTAATATCTCATCCTACACTGAAAACAAATTCAGGTGTATAAAAGAATAATGTACTACATTCTCACTAATGCCCTGATATAGCCTAGATGTGGGATACTAAGAAGAGTTACAGAGGGTTCATTTTAACCAATATGTAGCTCCTAAATGATGGAGACCTGCATTTGCTTTAACCTAAACTAAGGCCTTCAAATTTTACTATAAATTGCAGAAAGAGTTTTCATGAATATGTTTAGGGACACAGAAAAGATGGTAGATACAAACTAAGATCAGATTTTACTTTCATAATTAGTCCAGCCCTCAGAAATATTTTTATACTGTTGGGCATGAAAATATTTTCATTCCTTTTTATAGGGCAACAAAGCAGGTAGAACAGATGGGGATTCCTACAATTAAGAACTTAGAACTCTTAGATGGATGATTCTATCGGTCGTGCTATGTTGATTTCTTACATATATTCCTTTTACACCTTACTTCCCCTCTTTCAGAGGTGATCATCGAGTCCGCTTTGCACAAGTGTGTCTTGAAGCCTTTAAAAGAGGCCATCGATACTTACTTAAGAGAAATCCACAGCAAAGATGGATCCTTCGAGCTCCTGAAAGAAAACCAGCAAGTCATACAAAATACAACTACCACTGACCTAGGAGTAACCACTAGTGTGCCTGAAGCTGCATTGCTGGAGAAAATCCTACACAAATTCACAAGTATGCACAAGGCCTACTCTCCAGAGAAAAAGATTAGCATCTTGTTGAAGTCCTGCAAACTCATCTATGATTCCATGACTCAGGGAAACCCAGGTAATGTGGAAAACCTCCTGACACTGCATTTTTAATGTCTGCTGGAGTACAGAAGATCCAATTAGTTATACAATGACTCATAACAGCTGGTTCAAAATTGTGTTGATCATTATCAGAAACCACAGCTGAAGTGAGTATCTGTTAATGAAGACCAAAAACACGAAGAGATAACCGGACAGGTGCAGGAAACAGTTTAACAGAGCCTTCCACAACTATTGGCCCTCCGATGTTTTGAGCTGTAACTCCTATCATCCCCAATCACTGGCCATGCCAGTCAGGGCTGACAGGAAGCATAGACTGAAACACCAAGAAGGCATGATGATGTAGAAGGCTAATTTAATTGTAAACAATAGAGGTCCCACGTAACTGCAGCAGTTCAGGTGGAGTCAGCCACTCTGTTCGGAACAAGGGTAAAGGATTTCTATCATGCAGCCTGTGGGAAGCAGATTTGATCTACCCTGTTGGGACTTCTCTTATGTTTAATTAAGCCATTCCCTACATCAGCTGGATTTGCAGTGCTACCCTGATCTGTGATTGGAGATTACTGAGAGACATTTGCTCTTAATTTTTGACAAATCCCAGCGGTTTCATACCAGGGATGGGCAAAGGCTATCTTTCATTAGCATAGAGATTTCATAATTCTAGAAGTTCATCCTTCAAGAGAAGAATGGTCCAGTTCTCTCTGCAAGAGAAAGTTCATGTCTAGAATTAACAGGTCAGGGAGGTGGCATATCCGTATGAGTGCCTTTGTGTAAATAACAGAAATAGGTGTTGGGATCCAAGGGGCAATGCCCAATACTGCCCGTGCATTTGTGGGGCATCCCACTAGCATGATGGGAACCACATGGTTTCCAAAGCAGACAGAAATGAAAAGAAATGCTAGTTTCCAGAATAGCACAAACCAGTAGATTTTGCAGAAGGGAGTTCTTCTGACATGTTCCATTCTGGAAACAAATCTTGCTTTGGAAATGTACGCTCCTGTTGCACCAGTTTGTAGTTCCTGCCAAAACAGTGGACCCAGTGGAATGGCAGCATTGGAGATGTGTGAAAACCCACAGTATGAACTACTTTCTGCTGGGTGGGTTGTTCGTGAACAAGCCACCCTAACAGGCCATGGATTGTTCTGAGGGTTCTTGGGCCCATGATGAGTTGTTGTGTTGTCTGAACCTAGATAACCAAGCCCATCATGGATCCGGGAAAGTGGCTAGGAAGGAACTTGGCAACAGCAGCAGCACCCCTTACTGTTCTTGCACAGTTCACCTGAAACACTTCTGCTGCCAGCTGCCTCACTTGTCCAAGCAGCACAGTAAAATGGCCATCACTGCTCCACCTCCCCTGCCATGATTGCAAGCCTATTTGGGCACTCTATGGCTCCCCCCTCCCCCGGATTGTTTTTGGTGACCTCTAAGTGACAGCCATTGAGAGCCCCTTCAGAATGCACAAGCAGTGCAATAGAGGGTTTGTCACTGGTTTGCTACCTATTTTTTTGCAACACAAATATGCCAAAATAGTTTTGCATTTTGAAGTGTAGCTGGACTTGTGAAAGTGTGCACTTGCATACTCTCACAGGTCTGAAAAGGGCAGTCTTTCCTGGGCTATGTCCTGGGGGAGTTTTGCTGCCAAGGTGCAGAAGGCATCCGCTATAGACATTGATTCAGGGACGCTGTAGAGAAGTTTAATTTTTACTTTGATAACCCCATGCAGCTAGTTGTAGAAAACAAAGTTGTGAGTGATCTTTGCTGGCAAAATGGGGATGGCCAGTAGGTCTCCCCCTTTGTGATGAAAACCTCAACTTTTTTATTTTGGCTGATTGTTATTAGTATCCTGAATATTTTCCACACTTTTCCAGAGTTCTTGATGCTCAGGAAGGTGGAAAATGCAAGATACCTTGTTTGCAGGGGGTGGTACTTTGATAACTGTCCATGTGCAGGGTTCCTTTTAAACTGAAACTTTTATCCGAAAGCTTGAGCATCTCACCATGAAGATGACTACCTATTGGTAGTCCCTTTTGTGGACAAAGCTCATTCACTGCTTTGCTTTCCATTAATAGTTTGCCTTTTGACAGCTGTCAGGGAAACGCAGAGTCAAAATAAAACTCTCTGTGTCAATCCATGACTATGGTGCGTGTTTGCTGTATGTTCATGGCAAATGGCTCCCAGGACATTAACTAGGTTAGGTTGCCCATTTTGGACCCACACAAGTGTGCACTTGCTTAAGTCCAATTACATTTTTAAAAATGAAAATATTTGCACATATTTTTTAAATGGGCTTGAACCCTCCAATAGGCCACTAGAACACTTTGGAGGGGCTGTGAATGGCTGTCGACTCCAATCATGAAAAACCATCTTCAGGGGGAAAAACGGGCAGGGGAAGGAGATAAAATATGCACTGAATTAAAAATGGCTCATGACTGCAGCAGGGAGAGGAGACAGAGGCTTTAGCCGTCAGATCCCCTGGGGTACTGGCTGGGGGTTCCGGCAGAAGAAGTGGAGACAACCCAAAGGTGAGCCTGATTGTCTGTCAGGTGCATCATGAACAACCTACCCTGCATAGTTTATTCACAGGATGAGTTGTCATGATGTGCTAATGCACTCTGTGCAGTGGTACCTATGTTGTTAACTCAGAAGTAATTCTCATTGTGTGCAGTGGCATTTTTTCCTAGCAAGTATGCTTAAGTTTGTAGACTGTCAGTGCAACAGTGTGTGTGTCTGCCCAGAAATAAGCCGGGTCCCAGCTAAGTATGCATACGATTGCAGGCAGAATGTGGTCTTTGTTGTTATAAGGATCTGACTTTAATCCTATTTTATTGCTGATTCCTGTATTGCTTAAGACTGAATGTATGTAAGACTAGTACACTTGGATATGGTGGCATCTGAATGGTTTGCTTAATCATATCTGTAATGGGGATGGGATCTACTCCACCAATGATGATATTTGCTCTGTTGTGCCTCAGAACCAAGAGTGGAGCCCCTCCACCCAGAGCCTTAATTTCTTTATGGAGGTCTGGGAAAGATTCCAATTCCTTTTTAACTCCACATTCAATTATTAAATACCAATTTCATTCAAGCACTGTAGCCCAACCAGTGGATGCTGAATGCTGCAGATCGTTTACCTAGACGCCTATAATAGCATGGGGGCTTGTAGCACAGAGCGGGCTTATTTTAAGCCTCTTATAGATATTTATGAAGCAAATGTCTCATGTCACTGGGGAGGAAAAAGGAGGAGGCAAGCTGGATTTGGAATAAGGCAATTCCACCTTGAACAAGTGAGACCATTTCCAATGTCATTGAAGCAGCTTGTGAAGGACTTTCTGCTGCTAATGAGCTCTTTGGTGAAAGCCAGGAGACAAATGGGGAAATTACGGCCAACCCTGCCCCAAATCAATCTTAATTTCTCTCTCTCAATCTTTCTCTTTCTTTCTTTCTTTCTCTTGGGCTCTTTCTCCCTCTTTCTTTGTAGAAACATAGACTACTGAATGACCAGGACTCTTGTATATAAATCATTTATTCTAAACCTTTGGTACCTTGAAAAAAGGAATGGAAACGGCATTACACACATTGAGTCATGCCCAGCTGAGTGGTTTGTGGAACAGCCTTTAATCTAGTGGATGCCTTTGCAAATGGAAGAGGAAGGGATGCGATTTTGCAAGTTTCCTCTTCACTCTGCAACTCCAAGTACCAGTCTTTCTGCTATTTTGGAAACCCTCCCAACCCCCTGGAGAAGATTTTTGGGTACAGAGAGCTGAAGTGGAAGGGGTGGAAGATCCTGCTCCATTAATATTTGCTCCACCAAGAACCTTCTTGTGCAAAGGCCCCTTATTTTTTAAGCGTACAGCTAGTGGTGCACTGGAACTTGGTTCCCAGGACTTGGCGATTAGCAGAGAAACCTGTTCAACAGAAGCTGAGCAACATTCCTCACGGTAGCAAAGGGCAATGAAATTTTCCCTTGCAACAATATAATATTCCTAGTTGTAATACAAAGTATTTGGGGATGACAAGGGCTTGCATGCACAACTAAGTCCTATTCGCTTCTCAAAGGACCTGCTCTGTTGGAAATGAAAACTGCCAGAACTTGTATTTTTTACATGGATTGACTCAGTTGCCTGATCTTCTGTACCCTATAGGGTCCATCACTTCAAAATGTTTCACTACTCCACTGAGTATAGGAAAAATGAACCCAGGAATGACCTTCCTGTAGTTAATAGTTTCATGAGCAAAATGTACTATGCTCTGTCCTTACTCATTCTGGAACTTCCCAAAAATGCAGATGCCTTGCCAAGTTCATGAGTGAATCTGAGCTGGGATCCAGGATTTTAGCCCAGATTTTGAACCATTGGAGATCTCAGAGATTTGCATTCGACTTCTTTGTCTTCATGCCTTCCCACTACCTCACTTTGTATAAATCTTTCCTGGCTCATCATTAACTGGCTGTGGCTACAGAGACTGGTGATTAGTAAGTGAATGCAGAGTTAAAAGGAATCACAACTTACCAAAGTATTCCTTGTTCCATTGCAGCTGAATTCAGATCAGTGACTTCAGTGAAAATAATGTGTCTAACAAAGTTTGTGTTCTACAGCAATTAATTTGATTTTTCTTCTTCATCTCTTCTTCATCTTGTTTTTCTTCCTTTCCCTGGCGCAAGAGATGACTTCATGTGGTTTTTACATGCCATGCTTAAATTGCTTTTGGGTATCTCTTTCACAGCTTCCTTTCATCATTGCTAATGCAAATGTCAGAGTATGTGTGTGAGAGGTACTTGTATGCTTTGATGAGGTAGATTTTACAGGCATATCCAAAAAGAATTGACCTTCTCTGGAAAGAAGGAAGGAAGGAAGGAAGGAAGGAAGGAAGGAAGGAAGGAAGGAAGGAAAGAAAAATTTATTGCAGACTATGGTGCTTTGAGAAAGGTACAAAATGCTACAGGAAGCAAAACCTGTCAGTACTTCAAGACAAGTGTTTTCCTTTGAGTGGTGTACATATTGTGTCTGCAATGCATCATGGGTGAGCAGGGCAATGGGTCTCATTTTTAAGGAGTCTCAGACACCTCTCATCATGTACTCTCAGGCAGATACTTCTTGAGATCACTGAGGGCCAAACTACACAATATACTTAGCAGGAAGAGTCTATGTACAATTGATAGTTTTATTTAACCTCATGTAATGCGTGCTGGCCTGATTCAAATCAGGGCCATCAGGCTCCAGCATGGTTACACTAACTCGTCCCCCCTTGCAATTCTACCCTAGCCCAGTGGGAGAGAGAGAGAAAAGCCTTCATTGGCCACAGTGGAGCTTTTTTTTCCTAACCCCACCACTTGTGTATGTGTGAATTTTCAGGGAAAAACTTGAGGGAAGTTTTAACCTTATGCCTGCCTCACGAGCCCGATTGCCTCAATCCAAATCAGAAACGTGCATGCTTACACGAGAGTAAATAAAATGATTAAACATTGCCACATGCAACGTGCTTTACAGAGCTTCTTGCTCCTCCCCTGGATGGGCAAAAGCAAACTATATTATGTAAAATCAGAAAACTTTAATAAATTTCCATACTATATTTCAGCAATGGATTCCAACTTTTTGTGGAATATATCTTGGTACAAGAAAGTTGGGTTGTTCTTGAGGGATTTTTAAAGCACAAATGCATAAAGGTTATCTGGAAGAGTCCAAGTCATCCATTACTTCAGACTTCCCAGATTTGGTGCCTTCCAGAAGTGCTGAACCATAATTATGAAGAAGCCATTCTGTCTGGGAAATATGGAAGTTGTAGACCAACATTATCAGGAAGGTACTAGGTTTTAGAAGTCAACATTGCTAAATTGCAGCCTTTTCCAGATGTGGGTCCCCCGATGTTGTTAGACTACAGCTCCCATCATGCATTGTAGAATGATTGGTGTTGTGGGTCATGGGAGTTGCAGTTCAATATCTAGAGGGCCACAAAAGTTGGGGAAGGCTGCTGTATGGGCACATCTGCCTACAACCCTTGCCTACAAGCCATTCAAAGCTGTAGCACTAAACTTCAGCCTCCCTGAAAAAGGCAAGATGGTTTATACAGGCCATTCCTTCCACAGAGGTTGTTGTTATGGTCTGTCAAGTTGTGTCTGACTCATGGTGACCCTGTGTAGGAAAGCTCTCCAAATGCCCTATCTATGACAGCCTTGTTCAGTTCTTGTAAATTCAGGGTGGCGGGATCTTTTATGGAGTCAATCCATCTCATATTTGGCCTTCCTTTTCTTCTTCTGCCTTGACTTTCCCTAGTATGATTGTCTTTTCCACACAGTCTTGCCTTCTTGTGCTGTGTCCAAAATGCAACAACTCGAGTTTTGTAAGTTTTGCTTCTAGGGAAAGCTTTGGCTTAATTTGATCTCGGACCCACTTAGTTCTTTTTTGTTGGTCCAAGGTATTCGCTACGCTCTCTCCTAGCACTATGTTTCAAATGCATCAATTTTTCTCCTGTCAACTTTCTTCACTGTCCAGCTTTCAGCCCCATACATGATGATTGAGAATACAATAGGGTGGATAATCTCAGCCTTGAAAATTAAGTACACTGGCTGAGTCCGCACAGGCCACAGTAATAGGAGGCAGATGAATTTTCAGGGGACAGTGATCTGGTTTGTGTACCATGGCACAAAACTGTGGGTTAATTAACTAAACCATGGCTTGCATTGTAGACCACTTCCAGTTTGCATAAATAACCTATGGACACCCCATTGTGTGAGTTAATCCATTAATAATTTAGAGTTTCTGGGTTTAGACGTCATGCTAAGAACCTATGAACAGGGTGTTCCTAAGTTGTTTATGCAAACCAGAAGCAGCTCATACAAAGCATGTCCTGCCAGTTAATGAATTAACCCAACTGCTTGCAGCTGTGATATGCAAGTTGGTCCTTTGTTTTGGAGGCCATTATATTCATTGTCATAACTTCCTGGTTCCACATCCTGAGACCCACCTCCCCTGAACATGCTACAATATTATAGTTCCCTGCATTTCCTAAGTCAGGGGAATGACTATTACAGCTGCTTAACCCTGTAGTGTTCATATACCAAGAGAGTCAAATACAGATATTGGAAGAAATAAATTTATTTGGTTTCTGGAATGAATGTGGAAAGTTCACTCAACATTTACATGTAACACCAGGGCATGACTTGGCCATGTTCTTTCTGTCTCACGTGTTTCCTGCTTCCATCCATGTAGAGGGAACAGTGATCCTAGTGTAAATGAGCATATGATCCAGTGGCATCTGGAATGCATAGCTGATCAGTAAATAATCTGGCTTGACACCAAGCAGGTAGCTCCTAGGAAACACATTGGACAAATTAACTGCAAACCCTGCACTTGCCTTAATGTTGACTTCTTAGGGCAGCCTTCCCCATCCTGGCTCCCTGCAGATGTTTTAGATTTCAGCTTGCATCAATCCCAGCCAACCTGGCTACTGGTTGGAAATTCTGGGAGTTGTCACCTAAAGCATTTAGGTGACAGCAGGCTGGGAAAAGCAGTCTTACAGCTATATTTTGACCCTCTGCCAGCAGTCGCTTGGGACTTCCTCTGTTCCAAAGAATGCAGAAATTCAGTACAGAGGAAGTATTTCGGCAAGCACTCATTGAACAATGAAGGCCTTTTCTGTTTGGCAATCTTTTTTTTTTTTTAAACAAACTAGGAAACCATTGGTGCCCATAATGTTCAAAGCTGTGCTTATAAGCACTGCTTATAATGGGAGTCTTAACATGCACAACTTCTGCCACTTTAACTGTAATGGCTTTTGCTTTTTCTCATTTATTTAAAGTTTACATTTTTGAGGGGTGAGCTCAGAAGTATTCATTTAGGGCGCCAACTGAGTAGAATTCTCAGTCTCAGAGGAAAACTTTGTTGACTTAGCCTGACATATAAAGATTTTTTTTTGTAGGAAATACTTAGAAGAAGCAAACAGTTACTGTCCAAAGTACAGCTAAGCACACTTAACCTGATTGATGTTAATAGACTTCAGCACACTTAACTCTGTGTTGATCTGTGGCCTGCGGTAACATTTAGGAAGTGGAAGGCTATCTTCTATCATGGGATCTAATGTATCATTGATAAAATTTTAGAGGAGCTTCAGTATTTGATCTGTTTAGAATCATAGAAGGGTAGAGTTGGAAGGGGGCATGAAGGCCATTGGGTCCAACCCCCTGCTGTTGCAGGACACCGCATCACCCCATCCCACTCAGATGGCTGCCCAGTTTCTTTTTGAATGTAGGAGAGCCCACAACCTCCCTAGGCAGCAGGTTCCACTGTGATATTGCTCTGACAGTGAGGAAGCTTTCCCCAATGTCTAACCTGAATCTGGATTGTTGCAACTTGTCCTACGCTCTGGTAGCAGCAAGCAGAGATCTTGAACTTCCTCTTTGTGACAACCTTTGAGGTACTTATAGAGGGATATCATGTCCCCCTCAGTCTTCTCTTTTCAGTCTTTAGATCACGCATGCAGAACCTCAGGTCACATCCAGCTTTCCTGGAGTGATGCCAGGGCTACTGCACATCTTGTGCAGTGTCCCCCCCCCCCCCATGAAGGGTTGAAATGCATCTCCTAGGGATTCATTGCAGGCAGTAAGAGGAATTTGTGGCCCCATCCATTTGCTTTTGGGGCCCTCCACCACTGGAATGCGCCCCCCACACCTGATCTTCTCCAGAATGGAAATCAGCCTTCAGGCTGAGAGAGGTTCAGAACCTCTGACTAAGAGGATTTGGTCTGTCTCTCATCAGTATTAGAGGCTAGAGTTGTTCAAAGAAGATCCAGGGCAACAAAAGAAAGTACTTCTCACCCCATGTGTTATTAAGGGGCAGCATTTGCTACCACATGATGTGATGATGTCCCCTACCTGCAAAGGCTTTAAAGGGGGATTAGGGGATAATTGGAGGAGGATAAGGCTCTCTGTGGCCACTCGGCTCCAAGACTGGAGCTCTGTGTCAGTTGCTGGGACAGCTGGTTGCCGGTCTGTCGGCTACTGTGGCCAAGCCCTCCTTGCAAGGAAACAGGACTAGGTTGCTCTTTGGTCCAGTGGAGCACTTCCCACACCCAGCTATTCCCAAAATATTTTTCTAGGATACGTTTCAAAAAGGTGGGGTGTTTGTGGGGTTTTCTGACATTGAATTTGGTGAGAGAACATTACCAAATCAGTGTGCACATTTGCATGATCTTAAGCCCTGTTTTTAATCTGTGCTTGTCAGCTCTGGAAGGCAGCCCATTTCTCATAGCTCTGGAAAGGGCTGGCTCACACTTGGGCCTGGCATTTAGGTTGCACCGCTGGTGGGCCCTCCATGGTCCTTCTTCTCCTGTCATGTGTAGGTTTTGGAATGCTTTAATCAACTTTCTCTTTGTTCTAGGGAAGCAGATGACTTACGGAGCAGATGACTTTCTCCCGGTCCTCATGTATGTGCTGGCCCGCAGCAACCTGATGGAGGTGCTTCTGAACGTGGAGTATATGATGGAGCTGATGGACCCTGCTCTGCAGCTGGGTGAAGGTATGCAAGAGCTCTGTTACTCTGCTGCAACCGAAACAGGGCAATGTTGTTGGCATTGCTAGTGAAAAGCAGTGTTCTGCTTCAACCAGTTTTATATATAACACATGTATATCCCACCTTCCTTTTACTCTCCCGCCTTCCTTTTTAAAATATATTAACCTCCCTTCATCACCAAGGGATACTTAACATTAAAACTAACAGATTCAGGATAAAAATCATGTGATTGCAAATTAAAAGACAAATTAAAACAACTCTTCAACTGGTGACCCAAACAAAAACACAGCATCAACTCAACTCAAAAATAAATTTTAAATTCTAAAATATTCAAATGTTAAAATGCTTCAGTGAAAAGAAACATTTGAATTTCACACAGAAAGGAAAACAAAGTCAGTGCTACTTATATCTGCTTTAGAAAGACATCCAAAGTCTCTGAGCAGCGAAGTTTGACAAAAGGAATCTTATCCCCTTATACAAACCTTTGATGCAACCAGAATTAAAATCCTGTACAGCTCAAATCTCCACATCTGAAAAAGGACATCATTAGGCTGGAAAACATGCAGAGAAGGGCATTTAAAATGTTGAAGGGGTTCCTGTGAGGAACCAATACAACTGAGATTGTTTTTATTGTTAAAAAAGGCAAGTAAGGGGAGATATGATAGAGGTGTTCAAAATTATGTATGGTGTGGAGAAAGTGGAGAGGAAGACATTTTACTCCTTCTCCCATAATACTAGAACCTGGTGCATAGTTCAACTCTGGAACTCACTGCCACAGGAAGTAGTGATGGCCACTAATTTGCATGGCTTTAAAGGGGGATTGGACAAATTCATGGAGGAGGAGGAGGCTATCACTAGCTACTAGCTTTGTTAGCAATGGGCTGCCCCCATTATCAGAGGCGCAACATGCCTGCATTCACCTGTTACTAAGGTGCTTAGTAACCTTAGAGAATCCATCCTGCTTGAGGGATTCTCTGGGCAGCTGATTTGTGTGTATGCAATGCTGGACTGGCTGGACCATTGGTCTGATCCAGCATAGATTTTTCTTATATTTTTACTGCCCCAGTGTTAATCTCTGCCTTGTTGCATTTTCTACAAATTATGTCCTTCAAGGACATATATTCCAGCCCATCTCCTCAGTAATTATATCTTTGAAACCAGAGGATTCCAGCAATGTTTTAATGATTACATTGATGGAATATCTTGCTTCTTTAAGTGACCTGGCACCTGGTCATGTGTTTCAGAATACTCCCAGGATGCCTGTCCACACAAAATGACAGTGTTACTACCTAGGCAATGAACACCTGGGGATGGCTCAAAGAGAGCAGAACAGCAAGAAAACAGGGAGATCCCTCTGAATAACACAAGGACAGGCAGAGACAGACGAGCACAGGGACCATGTGCAAGGGCAGGGTCCAGATTTATGAACTGACCACGATGGACCTCCTTGTCCCCTTTTCCCCATGGCAGTCTCCAGCACCTTGAAGACGCTACACATATTCCAAATTTACATGATTACAATGGACTAAACCAGCAACAGTGGCTTCTTTGAGCCTCAGCATATGCCTATTGTCAATCACCTGAGCACCTGTTCAGGTGCAGGTTGTTGTTTTGCTCTGTGCCTGACTTCTCCATTTTATTTATTTAATGCATTATATTTCTATCCTGCCTTTTTCCCTTTTAAGGAACTCAAAGCAGCTTACATAAGTCTCCTCTTCTCAATCTTATCCTCACAACAACCCTGTGAAGTAGGTTGTGAGCAGAGCCGGCTGGTGCCGGAGGTCAGACTAGATGGCCCGGGAGACCCCTTCTGACTCGCTCTGTTTCTATGTTTCTATGTTGGGCTGAGAGTCTGAGACTGGCCCAAAGTCACCCAGTGAGCTCCAGGGCTGAGTGGGGACTAGAACCCAGCTCTCCTGAGCTCCAGTCCTGTGCTCTTGACCGCTAAACCACACTGGCTCTCACAAAACCACCGTATAGGTAGGTTATCTGATAGTGACAGCTACAACAGCCTTTCCCAGCCTTCAACTCCTGTCAGCCCCAGCCAGCATGCTTCATGTTCAGGAATGCTGGGAACTGCACTCCAAAGCATATGGAGGGCACCTTGTTGGGGAAGGACCCTCTAATTCATCCTTTGTGCATTGCAGGGGCGCCATCTGCTGGCCAATTCCATTCTGTAAACTATTTAGATTTTTCACTTTTTCAAATGCAGTGAACTGGATGCCAGTTGGACTCTGAGGAGTTCCGAACACTCACAATCAGCCTCCATCAGAGATGTTGGTTTTTCTTCCTTCTACACTCTTAGCAGCATACCCAGCATGCAGCAACATATTGGTCAGCCCTTGGCAGAATAATCTCATTTATCCCTGCCTTTTGTTCTGTATCCGTCTTCCACAACTTGGTGGCCTCCAGATGTTTGGGAATGCAGCTCTCAGCAGCCCCAGCCAGCATGGTCAGTGGAGAGGCATGAGAAGAGTAGGCCAAGTTCTCTGAAGAACACTAGGTTGACGCTTATCTGCATTTTCACTGTTAGTCCCATTCAAATTGCTCTGGGTTCACTGAGACAGGGTTATCTGAAGGAGCCCTGTCCCCTTCCTCCTCCTGGCAGCCCCCTCCAAAATTCTTCACAGAGGGATCCCTGACTAAGCTAAGCATGTTTCCATTCCGAGAGACAACCACCATTCGGCAATGTTAAAAGTTAAGACAATCAGGCACCATGAAATGGCACGGAACACAGTCCCACTGACTTCTTAATTTTTCACAGGTTCTTATTACTTAATCACTACTTATGGGGCGGTAGAGCTTATCAAGAGCTACGACAAGATCACCGTCACCCGGCAGCTCAGCACCGAGGTTCAAGATTCCATCCACCGTTGGGAGAGACGGAGGACGCTTAACAAAGCTCGAGCATCCCGGTCGTCAGTTCAGGTGAGAAGATAAACAGACCACATGCCTTTAGAAAACAAAAAAGTTTGCTTATTTTGTTTCAAGGATTTAGATAGGAACACACAGACACACTCCCCCTCACCAGCTTCAAAGGCAGTTGCCCAAAGCAAAGCAACCCCCCCAAAGCACCAGGTGGGTTGCATAGATATATCATGAATGCAGAGAGGTTGTAGCTCGGAGGAAGGGCACATGCTTGGAAAGAGCTCTGCCTGCCACCCTGGAAACTGGTTGCTGCCAGTCAGCATCAACGGTGCTGGGTTACATTCCTGGGAACGGCCACAGTGCAAAAATATTGCTGAGAAAGGGATGGTTCCTTCTATGTCAGGTGAACCACTAATGGGGCTTCACCCCAAGAAGCCTATTTCTCTGATGGCCTCCTGCCTAACCTGGAGTGGTGGCAGCACCTTGGGGAGAGTTTCCAACAATTAGCTAAATTGGGGTGTTGATCCTTTGTCAGCCCCAGGGCCAAATTCAGCCCTGCAGACACAGTTGAGAGCTGCATTTCAGCAGAATTCCAGGCCTCAGACAAACGGGAGAAGGGCCTCTAGACCAGAAATACTAAGTATGCCTGCATATTTTAGCTGAAATGTCTCGCTGCCTTGGGAGAGGCATTTTAATTTTTTACAGTGGAGTAGCTGGGGTGGCACCAGAGGAAAGGTGCATGGCTCCCAGGGAACAAATGGTAGGCCATGTTTGGCAGATTGGGTCCCCAGGTAGGCTTGAGGTTCCACCTCCACACGTTAAGGCTTGTGAAGAGCAATTCTCATTACCTTTCTAGGTAAGAACAGTGCATGTGCCCCATTTATACAAACACAAGCTAGGAACACCATGCAAGAACAAGGGGGAGTGCATGGGAATGAACGGCTAAACTACAGTTCCGTTCATTCATTCATTCAAAAATTTTTGAGATACCTTTCAGGGCAGGAGACTTCCCAAGGCAATGTTCAACAATAATACTCACATAATAAAAAGTGGTGTAGTAATAAAAATAGTAAAATCAAAAACAGCACAACAATAAAACTCACATATAAAAACTGTTATTTCCAGATTGTTTCATTTAGTGTTGGGGAGGGAAGGGAGCTCGGAAGCCAATGAGAATTCATGTAAGCCCATGCTTCCACCTTCCTCCTCTTCCCAACATTCACGCCTTCTTTCTCCCCCTCCAAATCCCAGTTACAACACCAGGGGCAGGGGCAGGAGTACAGCTGGCACAGTTCTTTCTGTGCTGGTTTCAAGGCATGGGGCAGCAATTCCGCCTTTGGAGTCCCTGCTTCAGGATTGCAGGATCTCAGAGCTGGGACTCTGAAGAATCCTATGGCCTTCCCAATTATGTTGGGAGGTCATAGGATTATGGCTTTAAACTGGAGAATCAAAGGTGGTTTGAAAGAGGGTTTGTTGTGTGGTATGTGCACCCCATCCATTGTGCTTTTGCTTCTCATAAACTAGTCTTGTGGTTTTGATGTTGTTTCAAAATGCACAAAACCTGTGTAAGTAGGGGTGGCAACAGGACAGAGCAAATGGTTGTTCAGCCTCTGGAAGTGACATGTTGCTCAAAGCACCTTAACTCTCCTAGAAGACCCAGTGGTGTGTAGTGGTTAAGAGTGTGGGACTGGGAAGCGGGCAATCTGGGTTCGAGCCCACTTGGTCATGGAGCCAACTGGGTGATTTTGGGTCAGTCACAGATGCTCAGTTCAACCTACCTCACAGAGTTGTTGTCATGGGGATAAAGTTGAGAGCAGGAAAAGGAGAATGATTTAAGCCACTTTGTGTTTGTTGTAAGAAAAAAGTGGGTTATAATTGAAACAAATAAATAAAAATTGTGACTCTAGCTGTAAAAGTTTTGAGGTATTCTGGTTTTCTCATAATTGCCTAAAACCAGTTAAGTCTTTTCACCTCAATAAATCTGCATGTTTCCAAATCCTCAGTGCAAGTACTCTTGGGAAGATATTGAAGAAACAATGAGACCTGTAATAGGCTTATAAATAAAAAAAAGTTGGAATAAGTGAAGGGTACTACTTGTTGTGTGGGTTCCTTGTTTGTAGAGAGCCAGCCCATCTTATTTTAGCCTAATTTAGTTGATTCTATTTTATTATCTTATAAGCTGCCTGAGTTTGCAGCTGAAGAGTATCTCGTGGTCTCCTCATGCTTTGGGCTCTGTGTTCAGACCTTTAAAATAGCCTTTCCTGCGGGGTGGGAACCTGTTATATATTTGACCGAATGCAGGTTCCACAGAGGTAAGCATTAAATGGCAGAAAGAGGCTGTTGCTTGCACCTGGATCTATTAGAATCCACACTGAGTGGTTTATTACAAAGGGTAAAAGGTTTATTTACTTACAAGCTATCCATAAGTGACTTGTGTAAAGGAGAGCTGTTGGTGTCCTCGTGCAGGATATCTTGGTTCATTGTTAGCTTGGAAAAGGAGGGAGGGACAAGGCCACCTTCTCTCCAGGCAGAGGTGGTGGTGTTGGTAGGAAGGAGGTCCTGTGACTCTTTTGCCATTCCAAGTGAGAAGGGGACAGCCTCATTTCATCTGTGGCATTAACCCTTTCCCTTCAACTCTGCTTAGTGGGCAGAAGTATGTAATGCCAGTGCAGGCAATTTACATACACCTAACACTGGGAGATGGACCGGGTTAACAATGGAACTTATGTAATTCAGGGGAAAATGGAAAATCAATACACAGTAATCTGAGTCTGCTGATGTGTGCAGAATTAGCTGTGTTATGAATTCCTGTTGTTGATGGTGGTGTTTCTCAATTCCCCTTTGCACAGAAATATGCAAAGCAGGTATCTCATCTCCTAAGCCAGAAATGAGCAACTGTTTTGTCCCCACAAGATTTGTTGGCACCTGACAGGTGTAGGAGGCCATGTATGCACACACACAGACACACACACGCATGTGCACATACACCATCCACATCTCAACATGCTTGGACAGGGAAGCTCAAAGTTTCCTTGCTCGCCTGCTAAGCTGCCAAGGCTGGGAGAGTGAGAGGCTAAAGCTTCTCCCACCCCATAGCAATTGCAGCTGAGGTTGCTCTGGATGGCAGCTGCTTGCTGCCACGTGCCACCCAAAGAGTGGCAGAAGGCCGCCTGTGGTCCTCATGTTGCCCACACTGCGCTAGACTTGTTCCTCATCTAGGACCCTACCACTGCCGCCGCCACACTAGCTTGGGCCTTATTCTTAACTGCTCCTTCCCCAAGTTTGCATCCCCAAGTCTGACTTTAATATCCTGTTGCCCTGACATTTCATTTCTATAATGTCCTATAGCTGAAGCTCCCTTCAACAATTCCTCCTTCCCAATGCTGGAGATGCTACATGCTTAACTAAGAAAGCTTGAGTGAGAAAGAGAGAGATAATTACGCTACAATCCCATGCAAGTTTTGGCAGGGGGGAAGTACTACCAGCCTCGTCATGCCTCATCCAGTCATTTTGGCTAGAGAACTGAGAGAGCGGCAGGGCTTCCTTCTGTATGATTGTGCAGGGAGTGCATCCTGATGTTTAAGTCATTTAAGGTTTCTTGACATTCAACCACAGGATGGCAGCAAAGGTCATATTTTCCCCTATTAAAAAAATAAAATCTTTGTACATTGATTTTCAGCAGGAGACAAAGAGTTTCTCTGCATGAAGCTTTTATCCTGTTGTAACTTTATTGAGGCTTCTGCTTTCATTGTGGAAGGAAAAGTGATTCTTTGCATGTGGTTCCCCACCTCCCATTCCAACTTGGGATGGGTTTATTTTCTCTGCCTTCCTATTATTATTATTATTATTATTATTATTATTATTATTATAACATTTCTATGCCGCCCTTTGCTGAAACCTCGGGGCGGCTTACAACAGATAAAATACATTGAAATACAATAGTACATAATAAATTACCATTAAATATAACAATACAAAAAATACATTGATTTACAAATACAAAATTAAAATTATCAGTATAAAATAAAAATATAGGAGGAGAAAGAGAAGGAAGAAGAAGTTGCCCAGGCCAGATCATATGTTTTAACAATTGAAATGATGTTTAAATAAAAAGGTCTTTACCTGGCGCCGAAAAACCAGTAACGACGGTGCCAGGCGGACCTCTTTGGGGAGTGAATTCCATAGGTTGGGCGCCACCGCAGAGAAAGCCCTCCTCCGGGTACTTACTCTCCTAATTTCTTTCATGGAGGGTTCCCGGAGAAGGGACTCTCCCGCAGATCTCAAAGGGCGGTCGGGCATATACGGACGTAAGCGCTCGTTCAGGTAGCCAGGACCCAAGCCGTTTAGGGCTTTGTAGGTCATAATCAACACCTTGAATTGGGCCCGGGCTTCAATGGGAAGCCAGTGAAGCTGATGGAGGACTGGAGTCATGTGAGCATAACGCCCCGTCCCCATCAGCAACCTGGCAGCTCTATTTTGCACCAATTGAAGTGTTCGGACTGTCTTCAGGGGAAGCCCCACGTAAAGCGCGTTACAGAAGTCTAGGCGGGAAGTCACCAGCGCGTGTGTCACCGTCGCCAGGCAGTCGTATTCCAGGTAGGGGCGCAGCTGATTAATCAGCCGAAGCTGAAGGAAGGCGTTCCTCGCTACCGCTGTCACCTGAGCTTCCAAAGAAAGCTCCGGGTCGAGGAGTACACCTAAGCTGCGGACCTTATCCCTAAGAGGGAGTGTTGCACCATTCAGGACCAGGTCAAATCCACCCTCTCCGAAACCCGATCCGCCAACCAACAGGACCTCCGTCTTGTCTGGGTTGAGTTTCAGTTTATTGGCCCTCATCCATTCCCTTACCTCAGCCAAGCACCGGTTCAGCACAGCCACTGCCTCACCTGGATTAGTGGAGAATGAGAGGTAAAGCTGGGTATCATCAGCGTATTGATGATTCCGCAGCCCACACCTCCTGATGACCTCTCCCAGCGGTTTCATATAGATGTTAAATAGCAGAGGGGATAGAATGGAGCCCTGTGGTACCCCATGGCATAGCTGCCATGACGTAGAGACATGGTCCCCCAGCACTACCTTCTGGAATCGACCGTCGAGATAGGAGCGGAACCACTGCAAAGCAGTGCCTCCAACCCCCAATCCCGCAAGTCTATCCAGAAGGATACCATGGTCGATGGTATCGAAAGCCGCCGAGAGGTCCAGAAGAACCAACAGAGATGTACTCCCCCTGTCCTTCTCCCTGCACAGGTCGTCGTACAGGGCGACCAAGGCAGATTCAGTACTGTACCCGGGTCTGAAGCCGGACTGAAAAGGATCCAGATAATCAGTTTCCTCCAAGAGTGCTTGGAGTTGTCCCGCCACCACTCGCTCCAGCACCTTGCCCAGAAACGGGATGTTGGCCACAGGTCTATAGTTAGTGGCCATCTCTGGATCCAGTGACGCTTTCTTCAGGACCGGTCGTACTACCGCCTCCTTTAAAGGGGCAGGCACCCGACCCTCCCTCAGAGAAGCGTTAACCACTTCCAAAATCCAGGTCCCAATCCCGTGCTTGGAGTTATTTATTAACCAAGACGGGCAAGGATCCAATAGGCAAGTGGTGGGACGTACTCTTCCAAGCACCTTGTCCACATCATTGGGCCGCAATAATTGAAATTCCTCCAGTAATTTTGGACCAGACGGTGGCATTGGCGACTCCTCAGAGACCTCTGATTCATTAGTGGAGTCCAGCTCGTGACGAATCTGAGCGATTTTCTCCCTGAAATGCCTGGCAAAGTCGTCACAGCGGGCCTTTGAGGGTGGCATCGGATCTTCCTTAGGACCCAGGCGAACCAGGCCTTGCACCACTCGAAAAAGCTCCGCTGGACGGCATTGTGAGGAGGCAATGGAAGCAGAAAAAAACTTCTTTTTCGCCGCCTTCACCGCCACAGCATAGGCCCGATAGTGGGCTCTCAAGTGTGTTCGGTCAGATGATTTATTATCTATATGATTTATTAAACAACCACATGGTAGTGCTGCAATAAAATGCAATTATGAATTTCCTTACTCTAAAAATGACTGCAGAAAGGGATGGAAAACACAGAAGATGCCCTGGAGGATGACAACATTGTGGAACAGGCCAGCAAACTTCCAGCAGTGAGGGACCACAAGTGCACATCATGCAGAAAAGCCCAAACAACAGCCCGAAGAATGTTTGTTACTTTATACTTATGCATTCTTTATATAGCAGCATTGGATTAGATAGTGATTATGGGCTAGATGCTGTTCTCAACAATCAGGAAGCATGTGAATCTGCAGACAGTGATGCACCATGAAAGTATCTTAGTAAACTCCCTGGACATCAGGAAAGCTGATGTTTATAAAATCAGCACATTGATGAATTAGATTCCATGGCAGGAAAATCCAGCAGGAAAAGGGATTCAAAAAGCAGAGAGGGGAGTTTGCAGATTTTATCACATTTGCAGATGACACAAGACTGAGTGCGATAGCTAATAACTTAGAAGACAAAAACAAAATTAAAAATGATCATGATAAGTTAACATACTGGGCTGAAAATAAAAGAATGAAGTTTAAGAGATAAGTGCAAGTTCTTCATTTAGGAAAAAGAAGTAAAATATGCACAGGTATGATGAGATTGGCAAAAGTACACATAAACAGGTTCTTGGGGGTGTAGTTGATCACAAGTCAGTGGAATATGAGTCAGTGGAGTCATGTGGCTGTAAAAAAAGCAAACACAGTTTAGGTTGCTTCAACAGACATACAATATCACATGAACAAATAGTTCCACTCTACCCCAGTCAGGTCTCAGCTCAAATATTGTCTCCAGTTCTGAAAGTCACGTTTTAAGAAGGATTCATATAAATTGGAATGAGTTCAGGGAATGATCATGAGGGGACTGGAAACTAAGTCTTCTGAGGAACTAAAGGCACTGAGTTATGTATAGCTTGAGAAGAACAGACTCAGGATATGATGCCACTTTTCAAAAATGATTTCTTGCAGAAGAGGGTTAGAGAACAGAATGAATAATGGAACCAGCTTGGGGAGAGGGGAGGGGATTCGCTGGAATAATTCTAGGAGAAACCAGACATCCATCTGTTAGGGTTGCTTGCAAGAGATGCCTGGCTGAGTAGAGGGTTGGCCTTGATGGCCAAAACAACTTCTTCCAGATCTCTGGTTGTGCTGTTGTAGCTCATTCTTGATTTTCTACTACTGATTTTTTAACCTTTCTCGCAGCAAGAACTATAAAAAATCCTGACATTGCTTAGTGAAAAATTGAACTGTACACAATCGCCATATCACTACAAAACAAATGTCAATAAAACAGTTTACTACTTAGTTTTTAAAAGGTCTAAAGGCCAGAAAAATATTCCCTACTTCTTTGGCTCCCCAAAACTTTTAGTCTGGCTGCAGTCATGGCACTTTACGTAATAATTTAATTGAAAAATAGGTCTCGGCTAGCAATGTGTGAGGAATCCATCAGATTTTCTCAGCTCTGCCTCTGACTTCAGCCTGCATTCTCTTGCCGTAAGTCTGACTTGGAGTGAGAATTTGCAGTGAGAATGGGTGTCTGGAAGAAAGCTAATTCAGCTGTTGCATGATACATTACAGATATGCAGGTATCACTAATGATGCCAGTGAAATACCATGTGTAGGCTTACGTGACTACTGCGCAAGCAAAATTCTGCTTCTGCACACAGGAACTTGCAGGCTTTGTGTATGTGCTGCATGTGCTCTGCAAGCTGGTTTAACTGCACAAATTAATTGTTGGTTTAATTGCCCTAACCCCTCCCCCGCTCAATTCTGGGCTGCCCATAAGATGTGCCTTCATCAGACTCTTGTGAGGTCTCGGCCATCACCTAGCAAGCAAAAAGAAAACACCCCGTGTAACTTAGATCTGTGCATATTATCCCGGCAACGTCTGTGCATGCAGGCCCATGTGGGCGCCATGTGGGCAACGGGAGAGAATGTTTGTGCAAACGTTAGGCACAGGGGCTGCTGTGCATGTGGTGTGTTGGCAGGCATTGTGTGCATATTGCAGGTGTGGTGGGCACTGGGCGACTGCAGCTATCACTGGCCACAGGTTGTGTGCATCGTGGTCACAGCACGGGGATTGTGCGCATGGAGAGAGCCAGCGTGGCATTGTGCTTCAGGTGCTGGACATGGGACCCAGGAGATCCAGGTTCTAGTCTCCACTTGGCCATGAAGCTTACTGGGTGACATTGGGACAGTCACTTATTCTCAGCCTAACCTACCTCACAGGGTCGTTGTGAGGATAAAATGGAGCCATGTAACATGGTTCCTCACAAGAGGAAAAGGGTGGGGTATAAATGCAATGTGAGGATGATAATACTTAGCACTAGAATAATTCAGTGCAAGGAAGAGGCCTGCTAGTTCCCCTGAATGTTCCTACACTTCTTTGTGGCCTGGCTTGCTTCCTAGGCCAGGGCCAAGTATGGAAAAGAGGTCCCACAAGTGCAAGAGAGCTCGATTCCAGCAGATGTTTGCATCACCAGTCTTGGCTCCTAGGAGCTCACAAGCTAAAGGGAGAGACACAGTGGAAGTTCCAGCACAGCTAAGCCCTCTGAAGCTTGTTCCCCATGCTTCTCATCAGCACTGTCTCCTTTACTGTGCATTGAGAATGCCATGTGGTATATTCATATCTATTAATATTGTAACGTATGCTCCTTGTTCACAGGATTTCATCACCATCTCCTTAATGGAAGCCAATGGCAACACAAGGACACTTGCCTACCGGACTGACTCGACAGCCCATGATCTGACTCAACAGTGTGCTGAGAAGTTTGATGTCTTGGAGCCTGAAAACTATAGACTGTTTGTTCATGTTGATGACAGGAGCATGCAACTTGACGAAAATGCCCTTCCGCACTGCATCAAGTCCCATCTGCTGAACAAAGAACCGAAGCCAACGTTCCACTTTATTTATAAGCCAATGGGAGATGAAGAGACACTGGTACCCATCATCAAGGAGCCAGATGTGATATAATAGCAACATTGTGCTGTTGTAGCAGACTCATCTTAAAGCATTCTGATGTTTTTCCTTACAAAGTCTTCTGATCTCTGCTGGCAGCAGAAGCAATCTGAAGTGCAGCTTCTGATCTGAATGGAGATGGAGACAGCACTGGAAATCTTTCACTGGGGCATTCTCTCAAAGAAATTCATTTGCAGCTGTATATGGAATATTTGAAGCAAAGTTCATTCTTGGGAGTTGAGGGGGAAACGTCAAACGATGCAGGATGCAATTCTTTGCATGTTTAATCAGAAGAAAGTTCTGCAGCTTTCTGCCAGCATTTTCCAGCCATCATGACTGGCTGAGGCATGTTGGGAATTGTGGGACCTTTCTCTGCCTGAACGTGCATAGAATTAGTACCCTTAGAAACTTAAATCAGGAGTGAATGATGTAATGTTAGCACCAGTTGTCCTGGTACAAAGTTGAAGGCTTGAGGTTAGAGGTATCACAGGTAATTCAAGGCATTTTGGTGCCTGAGGCAGAAAATCCAAACAACCTAGTTGTAGTAAGCAAGAATATAAAAAGTGTTCTGACCCTGAGGGCACATCCGCTTTCAGCATGAGGCCTGCTGGCTACACATGCAAACACACAGTCATTACTAAATAATTTGCAATGCCTGTGATGATACTGACATTTTCCTCCCAAGGTGGAAACTAATTCTGGATATTATAGAAGTCATAAACTTCTGCCTCTAGTTTGTCAGAGACTAACTAGATGTGAAAAGAGACACAGAGCTGCCACCAATTCCTGTTTGGTTCAACTAGTTCTTATCACATCGAGCTGAACACGACATGGGACACTGTGACCTTGTGCTGTGCCTTGCCCCACCTTGGCCTCACGTGGTTGGCTTTGGGGGCAAAGCAAAACAGCTTGTGGAGACATCATGCAGCGTGTTCCCTGAGACCGTACAGAAAACAGATGCATGGAGCTAGCCAGCCTAGCACACAAAACTGGATGTACTCATTCTGTCGAAGACAAATCCGAATCAAGATTTGGGTCACGTGCACATAGATGCTTTTCCATTTAATATCTTCCCCAAGGTTTCCTTCCATAATCCTTCACAAGTACCACTCCCAACTGTGATTATGGAAAGAAATGATCCTTCTACATAATTTCAGACTACAACTTAGGCACTTACAAGGCTGGCATAGTTGAGAGTGACCCAGAATGCTCCGTGGTGACTCAATAGAAGGCAGCTTTATTTATTCCTAGAAGGGGAAGACAGAAATGTAGGAGGAGAATGAAGCATAGTGAGATGGGCCACAAAGCCAGGATCTAGAAGCGAGAGCCTAAGGTTGATAGGTTGTGCTTTGCAAAAATGAGATAAATAATCAGAACTATAATAAGGGAGATGGAGCTTCCCAGATCTACTCCATAGTGCAGTGCACATCTTGTGAGTGGCCACTCCTGGGTTAAATTATGCATATTCTTCTGCTCTTGGTGCTTTGCATACATCTCCATGTATCTTTGATACAAACCAACCCTACACAGCCAGGACCTGTAAAGCCAAACACTTGGCATGTTGCATAGCTCAGGACTTTGGGATGTTTGAGTGCATACTTGTAAGCACATGATGCATTTAATCATTTGGCATCAAAGAATGCATCCAGGAAGTGCAGGCGTATGGATAAACACATATGTAAAGCTGTGCTGGCTCCGCCCAGGGCTCCATCTAGCTCCCCATTCTGTTTGCACAGTGGTCAGCCTGCAGTCGGCCACGCTCTCTTCCACCCACGTGGCCCTGCAACTGGTGCAGGCAAGCATACAGCCTTTCATTCTGAGAGCAGCACCCAGACATCCAGAAGCCGTTGATAGCCTTACCTTGCATTAATTTGTCCAAACCCCCCCCCCAAAAAAAGCACCATAAGTTAATGAATGCAAGCATTCACCTGTGTGTTGTGTGAGTGAGTTCTTCCCTCTGTGCCGAATCTCCCACCAGTCAGTTGCATGAGAAGGCCATCCCACCATTTCTTCCATTACAAGAAAGGGAGAAAAGGGACTCCACCTCTTGTTGGTTGCTCCCCACCCCGTGCACACTTGCATATCGTCTCTTGGGAGCAGAGGGACAGAGTTCAGCTGGGGCCGCTTTCCTGCAGGCCGCCCAGCAAATATTGCAGCAGCTCAACTCGGTTGCTGCCTCAAGTCCTGTACTACTGATACCAGCAGACAAACAGTAAATGGTGGAGCAGTGTGGGGAGGGAGAAGATCAACCCCCAAACGGAATTTGTGAAGTGCCGTCCTTTTGCAATACTGTGCAGCGTTCATAATGAAAGTTGGGTGGGGGGGGGAGTCTTCCTTTGCTGACCAGAGGGCTGCTGTGGAGTGGATCAAACTTTCTAAAGGTGCAGTCACAGGTGTTTGGTACAAAAAAGTCTGCATTCTTCTGAGGAGTTGTAGAACCTTAAGAGCACAAGCATATTCAAAAACAGAACAGCCACCAAGTTCTTTGAAATCTTCACCACCACATAAGGAAACCTTAAACTGGTGCATTGGACTAAACGCTCATAATTCCCAGCCATGGCTCAATTAAGGAAATTGCAATTGTAATGCCCCATGTTGGGGAAGACAAAAAAATGGCTACTTTCTGTTTGCTCAAGAACAAGTGCTTTGGGAAAGCTTGAATTAATCACCCGTTTGTTTGGCCGGAGAGCTATACTCGAGGGATGTGATTCTCCGCCTTCAGCCAGAGGAGCTTTTCTGACACTTAAGATATGCCTTGTCCAAAAATGTGTCCTTTCTTTTCCCCATAACTTTTAGAAATATATTAGTGAAATATAAAGGACTTATTTCTAAGTTGACATGCATAGGATTGCACTGTTTATGTATTTATTTACCTGTATATTATGTATTTGAATACAGTGTCTGGTTCATAAAGGCAGTGTGGGAAAGAGACTTGGGAGGGCGCATTTGCTCACAGCAGTACTGTCACTTTGGTCCAAGTAAATAGGGCAAATAAAGGAACTCAAAGCTTGCAGAAAGGCCTTCTAGCAACTCCCCCTTTTGTACTCAGGGCCTGGAAGCGATTCTTAATTGTGTTGGTTGTCTCTATACCTCCAAACTATACAGATTGTGTGATTTTTATAATATAAACTACATTGTCAAAAACAGTCGTGATTTGTTATATTAATATCCCACTTTTTTTCCTCCTGTGAGGAACGCAAGGCAGTTTAATACAGAAAGGTGGAGGATCTTGTAAACTCACAAGAACCCTCTGAAGTAAGGCTGAGACGCTGTACCTGGCCCAATGTCACCCAATGAGCTTCATGGCTGAGTGGACACTGGAACCAGGATTCCCTGCATCCCAAGCCACTGCTTTAGCCACTGTACCACACTGGCTCTTGATGCTGTCGTTCCTCCCAGAATATACGCTTCTGTTTTAAATAATTAAAATCCCATTAAAATCCCATTCTAGACTTAAATTGATCCTCAAATATCCTTGTCACCAGTTTCTTCTTGAAAATGCAGAACTGGAAAACTGGCTGTCCAGTTGGACTTTGATTCCAGCATGGGGGGACCACGTATCCTCCTTCACAGAGGCCAGTCTTCTGTTTCTGAGAGCTGGTCCCTCACTCAGACTATCTGCTCTTTGATGGGCAGCCCAGTCCAAGCCTGGTTTAAGAACCATCTGGAGGGGCCTGTGAAGGTGTCCTTCAACATTTGACACCTGGCCAACAGACTGGCGAGATGTGTTGTACTTCTATTTCCATTGTGGCTCGATATGCACTCCCAATTTCAAATGAGCATAGGCAAGGTGGGGTTCTGTTTTTGTGTGCTATAACTCCTCCTCCTCAGGGGTGCATGGTCACTGGTGATGGGAGGTGCAGTTCAGGAACACAGGGCAGTTCCCTCTGCTGAGTTAGGGCATATAAAGAGTCCTGCTGAATCAGGACACCAGCCCATCTAGTTCAAGTTCAGCATCCTGCATTTGACAGTGCTCTGTATGCAGAAGGTCTCAGCTTCATCTCCCCATCATTGCTAAGCAGGCCTGCAAACCTGCTCCTGAAACCATGGAGAGCCCCTGCCAGCCTGGGACAACAATACTGGGCTAGATGGATTAAGGGCCAGACTCAGTGAAAGGCAGCTTCCCACGTGCCTAAGAAGGAACTGAAGGGAAAGGCTCTCTTGCAGTTTCTTTCCCAGCAACTGGTATTCCGATGCATCCACTTCTGTAACCTGGAGACCGAGTATAGCCAGAGCAACTTATACCTTCTGCCTCTAGAAATAGGTCAAATCCTCTTCCCCAGATCATGCAAAGATGTGGAGATTACATTTTATTATGTAAACCATCTAGCGAGCCATATGGCTACAAGGTGGTATACTAAAGTGCTAAATAAATAAAATTAGCACATTGTGTGGCAGCAGATTCTAGAAATTAACTATGCCCTGTGTAAAGCTGCCCCTCCATCTTATCCACATCCTTGCTGGAATTTCTTCACCATCGGACCAGCTTCATGGAGTGAGATGGTATAAATTGGTGACCTGCAACAGGAGGGGGGTTGGCTCCTTCCAACTCTATGATTCTGTGCTTCACTTGCTGGTGCTGGAAGGCTTGTTGGCAGCACTGGGGTGAAGCCTCCGGTTTTGCTGCCAGCACGACCTGTGTCATGTACAAGTCCCTGCAGGGAAGTGGCTGCAGGAATCCTTTGGCTTTAGCTGAGGATGTTGTGGCTAAACTCAAGCCACTGTTCCAATCAAAGCTCATGGCTGACTAGTCTACCCTCTGGTATCATTTGGGCTGCCTTAGTATTCTGGCCTGTGTAGCTCTAAGTCCAGAATGGAAATTGAACTAAGGCCACTGTCCACAGTGCCAGTTCCAGGTTTTGTGGGCTGCTGAGCTAGACAGCTGCTAGGAACCACCTCCCTCAGTGAGCCAGCCTTCTCGTGATATTGCCACCTGCCACGCCGACTCTTCCTCTTCACCTTGCTGCCATTCCTTACGTAATAGGCAGCGGGCAAGCACCAGCGGCTGCTTGTTCTTGCCATCACCATTCCCTGGGCAAGAGAGACAGGTGAACAGGCAAGGTGAGGAGGTATAAGTCCAGGACCTCCGGTTGGTGGACCTTGGTAGGCTGTGGGCCCTGGGCAAGTGCTTGGCTATGACACCAGCGCTGGGTCAATCAGCTGCGTTTAGAGGCTTCCCACAAGTTGCATGAAACTTTTTCCAGGTGAGGGATGCATTGGCTTCAAGTATGTTTTTCCTGATGCCCAACTTTGGCCCATGTTATTTTTGCTTTCAGACCCTAGTAAAAGTTTGAACACACGTGCGTGTGTGTGTGTGGCGCACAGGAATAAATATAAACATTTGGGGGGGGGGGGGACATGTTACTCTTGTTTTACCTGTTGAAGAGACTATAGTGCTCTTCAGTTGTTTGACCTCTGTGTATGAAAAGCTTTTCTGGAACATAATGACTTACTCCAGATAATAAGTATTCTCCAACTGGGTTTCTGCATTTGGGTTGGGCTGCAACTCCCAGTAACTCCCAGCTAGCCATATGGGGTAAATGGTCATGGGAGTTGTGTTCCAATACATATGGAGCGTGCCTGGTTGAGCAAGTCTGCCTTAGGTGCTGACATATGCATTGACTAGCAAAGGACTTATAAATGTACTGATGTATGCAGAATTCCCACCACGAAAACGGAGTCTGCTGGCCCGGGCTTTTGATCCCTTGGAGGGAACCTTACCCATCTTGCTGTAATGGAAACTGGGTTTCTGTTCCCCTTTTTCAGGCGGAGAAATTGTGCTGAATCAGAAAAAGCTTGTCGGTTCATGAGAAAAGGACTGCTACTCAAAAAGTGCATCTCTAGGTCTAATCCTTTGCATCCCAAGTATAGGCTCTAGCAAAGTGGAGCGTTCTTGTTTTTAAGAATGGCTTTTGTAGACCAGATAATATAATGAATGCTAGTCAAGGTAGAAGACCCTTCCACCATGTGCAGTAAGGGAATGGGTTGGGGGCTCATACTGTGATCCTAGGCATGATGATAAGGCCCTTGGGAGATAACTGCAAAATGAGATAGTCCTCTCATTCTCCCAGCAGTCACACCTCACTGCTGATCAGTTTTGAACAAAAGCAAGGGAAGCAGTTTCTTGGTGATGACCCATTGCAGTCATGTGAAAGGGTGGCTGGCTTATTTACTGAGTGACTCAGGAGTCACATGATTCATCAGCAGACTGAGCGCCACTTGCTTCCGAGAACTTTGTCCTTGGAACTAGCTGCTTTGGAGAATTTGGGCAAACATCTGCTTCCTTGTCAATTTCATTAGTATTTTAGCACACAAATGAGGGTGCTGGGAGGATTAATTGCTGAGTAGACAACACCAATTGTGGGAGAGTTGTGGACAGCTCTGTTCATTTAACTAGCTGATCTGATCTGTGAAGGAAACCTGTCTCAGTTCTCACATACACGAATCAGTCCAATGCTGAACCTAAATAGTTCGTGGTAGGTCTCTTTTAAAAAATTGAGCTTGTTCATGTGCTGTTAATAACCATCTGATGTGGGGTAACCATTTAACAGCAGCTTGGACTGATTCCAAGAAAGGGTGCAGCAGTCCCTGGAGGTTTTCTATAAGGTGAGGGGAGGATGTGATTCTTGAGATATTCTCATCCTAATCTACTGGAATTGAGCCTGAAAGCAACCCAAAAATGAGCAGAGCTGATCAGTACAATATGATCCAAATGTACAGATCAAGCCAGAATTCTCGGAGACTCATTCTGTTCCACCTCAAGCTTCTGCAGAGTCTTCAAGAGCAGCCCCAGGCAAGATTCAATATAGCACTCGAATATGGAAGCAACAAGCACACGCATGGCTGAACCAGGCCTTATTTCTCCTGGAAAGGATGCAGCTGGTATACATGACCATGTTGGAAACATCACACCTGACCACTGCGGTTACCTGAGGTGCTGTACATTTCTAGGCGAATTTCCAGAATGTGAACCCCACTCAGCCTGAATGCCTAATCTGAAATATCAGTACCCTCAGACAACAGTAATTTGGCTTTGTCTGGACTAAGCTGCAGCTTGTTACACCACCATCCATGCCATGATGATCTTGTAAGAAAGGCTTTCCACAGGCAGGCAGGGTCAGGGCCCACGACCAGGACGTCGGTGGCCAGAGACAAGACAGGACAAGAGCAACACAGGTACCAGGACCAGGGCAACAAAACTTCACGAAACAGAGAGTCCAAAAGGGTTTAATGGAAAGTCCAATACAGGCCAAGGTCCAGAACCAGAATGCATGTGAGCAAAGCAAGGATACAGTCAGGAACAAGCCAAGAGTGAAGAACCAGGAGGACAAACATTAGTGCAGGTAGGAGACAGGACAGGACAACAGGGTAGGAGACATGGCATGGCAGGACACACAGCATTGCAGGATGAATGGGCAAGGCAAGGCATAGTCTGGCAAGAGGCAGACAGGAAAACCTGTGTTGGTGAGGAACTACCCCAGGTAATCTCCTCCATGTAACCTACCAAATCAGGGAAAGAAGAGAAAGTGAATGACACAAACCGGGGGGGGGGGGGGGGGGGACTAAAAAGAGGAAGGAAAAACTGGAAGAAAAGCAGGGAACAGCAAAATCTTAAGGTCACTGAATCAGTAACCTGCCCAAGAGAACCCAGAAATTAGCCTCGAGTTCTTCAGGGTGTTTTCAATATAGCATTACTTCTCTCATAATTTGCATTTTCCTTCACATTTGAAACAGTTTGATTTGTTTTAATGTGAAGTTCTGCAAGACAAAGGTGGGCAGGAAGTAGCCTCCAGATGGACTTCAGCACCCAGCATTCCTAATAACTGATCATGTTGACAGGGGATTTCAGAAGTTCAAGTGCAGAACACCTGGAGATCAACCTGCTCATCCCCACTGTAAGGCTTGCAGTAACTACCTGCCATGTCGCTGTGGCTATTGGACAATAATCACCTGGTTCTCAGTGCTGAAGCCAAACTTGAATCTACCAGGAGAAAAGCCTTCTGTGTAATCATTACATTTCTATCAAATTCCCTGCCTCTGGAGGCCAGGGCAGACATTAATATTGGATTGCTGTTGGTGCCTGCTGATGACATGTTTATTGCAGGAAGCCTTTCTTTCAGACCAGCCGTGCTTTTATTATTATTCTGTTCTATTGTTTTGTCTTTTTATTCTTCACCACTTCAGAATCTGCCTAGACATGGAGTGGTATACAAATATTGTAAACAAATTTGCTCAGACCATTTGCAAGTAATGTTGAAGCAAAAATTCACTGCATGCAGTCTAAAAACATAATTAGAAAATCTTTAGATTTTTAGAAAAAGATTACAGTGTTATCTGAATAGTATGAAAAACAGCCCAGATTAAGGTTACACTTTTAAGCATGCTAGCTTGGGAGCCCTGAATTCAGGCTAGGTATCAGGAAAAGCTTCCTCACCGTCAGAGCAATCCAACAGTGGAAACAGCTGCCTAGAGAGGTGGTGGGCTCTCCCGCACTAGAGACATTCAAAACGGAACTGAGCAGCCATCTGAGTGAGATGGTGTAAATTGGTATCCTGCAACAGCAGCAGGTTGGATCTGATGGCCTTCTTGCCCCCTTCCAACTCTACTATTCTATGAAAGCAACATAAATAATTAGGACAAGTTTTCAATCTTCTGGACATCAGAGAAGATCTCTTCACATTACTTGGCTGTGGAAAAATCTGTGCATTTCCAGTGTGGAACTTGGACATGCTGCAAGGATTCTAGGCACATTCTGGGCATGCTTACTACTTCATGCCTACCAAATTTGTTGGGCCTCTCATCTTTGCCCTGCCCAACACTTCCCCTGCAACCGCACATCCTATCAAGTCAATCTATACAGTAGACAGTGAGGTACCTGCCTCCAGTGGCAGATGGTGAGATGGACAGGTGACAGAAACTGGGTACAGTGGTGAATGAATGGCCCCAAGAAGTTAGAGAACAAAGACGCAGAGGCGTGGCTGTAACGGCCTGCCTCGCATCGCCTAATCTGGCCTGCTGTTCTTGGGTATCAGAGGACATGCTGTCCTGATGTCAGTGTTGAAATTAAGATTAAATTGCTGGTCCAGTTCACTTTTGTACACAGAACAGGTATGGGCCATCATCTAGTTAGTTGCTCCAGGCAGCAAAACATTTTGGGGCAACCCCCAGTACTAAGGGACAAGCTGTCCTTCATGAACGCTCCCCCAACCTGACTCATCAACTCACAGAAGCCCCTCTAAACATCTAAGGTACCTCCAAGATTCTCAGGAACAGATCAAAGGCCACATGAAAAGGAACTGAAGTACAGTCCTGCAGATGTGTAAGATTCAACTTCTTGCTTAATGAATTCACCCATTGAAAAGAGAGGGGAGAAACATGTATTTAGAATTAAGACATGAGAAGTTCACACTCTTTTATTCGGTTTTCCAAATACTGCTATTTCCCCATTAAGTTGTATAAACATATAGTTACACATGAATTAGAAACAAACAGCAGTGAACAATCCCTTTTAGTGGAGGTCAAGGAATAATTTCTCCATCATGAATAAGCTATGCAGCCTTGATTATTTTGTTATAAGTCTGATCATTTTAAAGCAAAATGGTTAATCTTTGTTTTGCCTTGTCTTAGGCAAATTTGACAAAACAAAAATGATGGCTTTTTATTCTTCAAACATGTAATGTAAAAATTTCAACTAACAATGTAACCTTATGGTTATTAAAGCATTCATTTCCAATTTTAAAAAATATAGTCACCTTAGTTACTACAGGCCATTTTGTGGAATTCTGTATAGGACATTCTTAAAAGAAAATTACCACTGAAAACCTGAGTAAGGGATTAAAAACAAAATAAAAACCAAACAAATAGTTCAATTCAAACTGAGCACTTATACAAGGCAGACCACCTCTTCAGATTGCCAAAAAAGTGTCTCAAGGTGGAATTAAGGAAAATTGTGAAGACACTGTGGAACTTGTTCATTCCAGGAGATTTCACAGGCAGCTTCTAGAGTAGAACATACTCCCTAACAGCTTTAAAGTGCAGATCCCAACGGTTGCCCAAGAAAGCCTTCACCATCAGGTTGCTATTGTTTTATACTGGTTTTATACACATAACTGGTCTCTGCTTCGCATTGATTCTTGGTGTGATTACTAGAACGTTCATCACTTTTAACTGGATTACTTCACAGTCAGGCTGTTTGGTTAATATCCAAGGCACACTTGATTCATGGCAAGTTGTATTCTGCAAAAGGAAAACAGTTGTTAACATGAGAGTTCTCATTGTCTTCTGTTTCTGTTTTCTTGATTGAGTTTTAAATTTGTCAGGTTTACTTCAGAGAAAATAAAAGCAAGTTTCATAGAGCAATCCTTGTACTTTTTTTTTTTTTTTTAGAGCTTTACAGGGCTGCTCGTTTTTCACTCTGGTTTTAAGACTAGTTAAAGTCTTAACACCAAGTCTAAAGGTCTTGATTGTACAATCGTATTTTATGGTTTTAATTGCTGTGAACTGCCCAGAGAGGTTCAGTGGTCAGGTGCTGTGGTCATAGAGTAGCAAATAAAAACAAAATTCTGCTATGGAAATTTCTACCTACAGGAGATGCAAAGAGTAAGCTAGTAGGCTAGACACTAGTGACATTCCAGTTCTTTAAAACAAAACAAGGGCATTTAGAAACACAGAAACAGAGCGAGTCAGAAGGGGCCTCCCAGGCCATCTAGTCTGACGTCCGGCACCAGCTGGCTTCGCTCACGACATGCCCACCAGGTGCATGTCCAGCCTATCTTTGAACACCATCACCGATGGGACCTCAACGACCTCTCGTGGAAGCCCATTCCACACCCTTGGGGTCCTAACTGTAAGGAAGTGCTTCCTGGCATCTAAGTGGAACCTTGGTTCCTCGAGCTTTGCTCCGTTGGAGCGCGCGCCCTGCCTTCCTCTGAAGGGGAGAACAGATCTCTACCCATCTCCATGTGACATCCCCTCACATACCTGTATGTCGCCAACATATCCCTCTGAGTCTCCTCTTTTCCAGGCTGAAGAGACCCAGTTCCCTCAGTCTCGCCTCATACCCCATCCCCTGCAAACCGGCCACCATCCTTGTGCCCCTACACTGCACTGACTCTAACCTGGCTATATCCTTTCTGTAATGAGGGGCCCAAAACTGAGCACAATACTCCAGTTGCGGGCGCACCAGTCGTATAGAGTAGTATTAACACCTCTCTATCTATTTGTGCATAGCTTACCTCTCAATAGGATATCCTGCTTCACAGACATTGACCAAAACATACAGTTGTCTCAGAGCATATTCAAACTGAAAAACAGAGCAAGCAGATTACGCCTTTTCCCATTCAGCGTGTACACATCAAGAATGTTCTCTATTCCTTTCCAATGGAATGTATTACTGACATGGTTGATTTAGGAAGAGATCAGAATGTAAAGAAGTCCTAATTTTCTAAATTGGGATGATCCAAACTCCAATATACCCTACAATGGATAACTACAGTCTGTCTGTCCCTGTACTACAAGTTTAATTGTATAGTGAGTCTCGAGCAGAAGATATACTAAAAAGGGAGAGATGGAATAAATGTGTAACCTATCTAAAGAGAGGCTAATTTGTGGCCCTAAAGATGTACAACTCCCACTCGCTCACACAACTGACTATGCAGGCTAATGCTGATGGAAGCTGCATTCCAAAACACCTGGAGAAAAAGTTGCCCATACCTGTGGCTTAAGGAAAAAAGCTGTAATACATCCTAGAAGAGACAGTAAAACATACCTTCCTCCCAAGACCACCAGGCTTCTGCTTTGTAAAAGCAAGGAAACCCGGTGTAATCCCCTTCCAATCCCAAATGCATCGGTTACACCAGAAGGCCTAGCTCTCCCTTTACATTTCGTCCAAATGTAAATACACGCACACAAAAATGCATTGAATCAGCCAAAGAGGGCTGGAACATGTTAGGAAGCTGTTGAGAGAGGGACTTACCAAAGGTGAGTGCCAGTTGAAGCAATGACTTTTGAAGTGGTTTACTGCTGACTCATAGCAGTCATAATTCCTGAGTTTTGACCTACGTGACAAGATTGGTTCAGCAAGTTCTTCAGAGTGTGTAATGGAGAATATGATCTTGCGCATAGACTCTTTGATTAGCTCTTTGGCCTGTGCAAGAAGAGGCAGGATTAAACCAGTTTGTTACCAAGATCTCCATATTATATGAATCACCATCACCTGAAATGTCCTGAGGGTATGCAGGGATGCTCTGTGGTATTCCAGATGCCCCTTTTCCCCAACAACATTTCAAAAAATATTTTTAAGGTTACCTGGCAAACTATGGTCTGCAGGGCGGGGGAGGGGAGATGCCAAAGACAAAAATGGTCCCTGAACCTCCTGAAGTTGCCCACCCTGACATAACAGCATTTCTAAATGTCTGTTACTGAGAGATACATAGATTATTTGAGTATGAAATGGAAGTAGTAGCTATGGTGAGGATCCTACAGACAGGATTCTATTTTTATTCATGGTTCAAAGTTTGCAGAAATTTTGCAACTCTACCCTTACATAAAAGTCTTGCTATTGCATAATGCTTAGACATTGTTTCAGGAGAATAATGGCCAGGTAGCAGTATATTAACACCTGAGCATTTTGTTCTTTAGTCTTAAAAATAAAAAATAAACAAAAAGAGAAGTTATATAATCCATATGTAGTCAATGTTGTGGGGGAAACAAAAGTTCTTGAAATGAAAAGGGGGTTTGGAAGAGAATGGCCTTTCCCTGATTTTTCTTCGACTTTTTCCTGGTTCTTTGCATTTCTAGCTTACATCAGATCTATTCGTCATAGTCATGACCAACTCTGGGTTGACCTCACTCTCTTCCAAACAATGCTGTGTGTGCAGTCTAAACTAAGCACATGATTGAGCCAGCTGCGTCTTCTTTAGGTCACTGGCACTTCCTTCCAATAATCCTACCCCACCCTCCTGCTAAAGGATTCAGACAGATCAAGTCTCCATCAACGCAAAATTATGCAACTCTCATTCTGCTCAAACCAGAAGGTCGACTGCCACAACAAGCATGCATCTTTGAGTTTTTAATGTTGATTAATAGTCAAGTGCAATTATTATGGTAGAATCTGGAATTTTAAATGGCACTGAAAAGCCTAAACCAGCCTCTTCGTAGGCTGGAAGACACATTTGGAAATGTGTGGAAACATCATGGGTACGCTCTCAAAATGGCTGATGAGAGAAAATTGCCCATTCATAACATGGCAGCCATTATGGGCATGACCATTCGTAAAACATCATCAGCAAACTGGTGATATTTAAAGCAGAATAACTGGCCCAAGACCCTAAATACAAGGCAGAGGACCTGAGCTCCAAAGCAAAGCTACTTGTGAACCCATAACAGCAGCAATTTGCAGTCTGCAAACCTCCTAGTTACTTAAAAATGAACAATGTTCTGAAGCAATCTATCAAAAATAAGGCAGGCATCAGGGGAGGTATCTCTGGTCCTGGCACTGTCTGAATAATACCACACTTGGGACTTAATGTCTTACTTGTGACATCCTTGTACAAGATTGAAAGCTTCCTGTGCTATGTAGGATATAGCACTGTCTGGCACTTTGCTATACACTGGGTGATTTATGGCGATTCAGCTATCCATCATCATCCCCAGGATGGTCAGTGTGGTAAACTTTAAGCATAGCACCTATCACCCATGTGAATTGTCATGGAGAGAATTGAGCTCCTCACTAGCACCAGTGCCAAAATATAACCGAGTTTTGGAAAGAATGCTAACTTGCTGGCAGCTTTTAACATCCATGGTATCTGTGTCTCCATCTGTATTTTGGAAGTCTGGACTCTCAGCTGATCCATTCTCAAATCATATCACAGTCTACAAATATGTCTGCTATCAAATATTGACTTATTTCACACACATTGCCAACCCATGGCGTGTTGTCCTATGCGGGGACCGTCTGGAGACAACTGAATGAACTGTGGTTTATCACCTCATTCACTGGGTTGTTTTTCTTTCCATCATCCCCCAAATGCCTTTGTGACAACATAATACTGGGAATGGCTGCGGTTTGTTCTAAAGTACTCTTGCCCTTTTTATCTGATGAGACAAACCATGAACAACCCACAGTTTTGGATTCACATTTAACGACTGCTCATAGTTTCAACAATCCAAGTATATAACGAATCCAGTAACCAATAAAACAAGTTCATAACCATAATCACTCTGTGCTACAACATATAAACTAACTACTAAAATACCATCAATACAAATATTCAACACTCAAATCTCTGCCAGAGATTTTAAAGAAGCCATTTTATTGCAGGGCTTGTATGGCCTAACAGCAGTCACTACTGGGTAGATCTCTGCTGCAGGTTGTCTTTGGGAGCAAATGCTGCATGTTTCAACCATGACGACTCCCACTGAAGGAAGTGCAATGTGGATAAGCAGTGACGTTAAACACCTGCTTATGTTCATGTTACACAATTGAGCTTGCACATCTTCTTACCTCCAAGTGTCTGTTCATCTCTTCTAAGAGCGACTTAGCCCTGTGGGCATCATTGGTGGCCATCAGCTTGCGCTTCATGATTGCGAAGGGCACATCAGGACTGGGGGTGAGGTCATAGTGAGTCACAGGAGGCAACGAAATGGGCGTGCTGGGAGCTCTGGCAGTTCCCTGAAACTGCACCACTTTCATGTGAGCGATGGACTGAAAAAGAAAATGAGGGAGGGAGACAGAGAGTCTACTTCAATGGGGAAAAAGCATATTTGGGAGGGAATGCTATCTTCTGAAGAAGGCGATTTATCTTCTCTTCCATCTCTGTCCTTGCAGCAGTTCTGGGATGACCATTTAGTCTCTTTGTGTTAGCCTATTGGTGGGCTTTATGGATAAAAAGGCCATCAACCTTGTTCTCTTGCATCCACATCCAATGACCATTGCTGTTGGGCAGCTGTTGGGTAGCCGTGGTGATTTAAGAACCCCCTGCAAGCCCATGGCTCCTGGAGGGAACTGGGTAAGTCACTAAGCCTGTCCTAACCTGCTCCCACCGTCAAACAACCTGTTGTTAACACCTACAGATTTATGGAGAGCAGTGGGACTCTCCCTTTTATAGACTTAGCTGTGCACTTGAAAGTCAGCATGTGGGGTGAGAGAGATGTGCTGCAAATCAACCTAGACCAGAACAATGGAAATTAAAACAGTCAGCACAGATGTGTATTTAGGATGTAAGATCCAAAATGTCTCGTACTCACCTGACAAAAAATGAGTAATAGTTCTATCTGATCAGTGACATCACTGACTCCTCTAGAGATGTATGAGGAATCTGCCTGAGGGCTGAAAATCTGATGGCACTTCCCAACTCAGCTGATTCCAATCCCTTCCCCCACCATGGCACTGACATGGTCTGGTGCCAATTGAGCCAGCGTGCAAATTTCCACTTTTAAAAATAGGTTGCAATTTGCATGACTCTTTCTTTAAAGGAAGACCAGGACATCTGGGCAAATTACAAAGGCCAAATTTAATAGCAAAAGAAATCAGGTATGGGGAAGAGGCTAAAAAATGACCCAGTTTGCACAAATCACAGGAGCTGAAAAACAACTGAAAATATAATATGTATGGCTATATGGTATGTGCAAATCATGTAACCCTAATGGAAATCTCTAGTGTTAATGCCAGCTAATGGGAATTGGTAAGTTCTTTGTGAATACACTGCACCTGGGATTACATAATAGACTTGTAAATGCAATAAAATATTAAAAAGTGCACAAATCTATTTATGCTTTGTGCATGTTTCCAGCTACACACACAACAAAAACAAAATTTTGCAGTCTGTTTCAGATTGCCAGATCAGAAACACTATCGAAACAAAGTCTATTTCTTAGCATTGTACATCCTACTTCTTTCTGATCCTATCTCTTTCCCCTCAGATCCTAACCCCAATCTTGTCTGTGGCCCTTAACTGTCTCTCACTGTCTATATATTCTCATTCATTTGAGCCTCATACCTCTAACCAGCCACCCCCATCAACTCTTACTTCTGACTAGTCCACCCATTAGTTTGCTCTGGTCATTCTTGTCAACCATGAAGATGAGCTAAACTGTGAGTACGACTGGAGGATCTTTCACAGACAGTGGCAGTGACACGCAAACTAACTGGTTAGTACTGCACTGAGGAAAGGAAAAAGTAAACTACTTCTGAATTTTTCTACGCTTGAAAATCCTATGATAAAATGATTCAAACTGAAACAAGAAATAGTGCCAAAGGGTGACTCCCAAGTCAAAAGGCACTCATCCAGCTGTTAGGGAAGAGCAAAGGGGAAGTGTGAATAGAAACTAGAAAAGATCAAGTAAGGATGTTTCATCCACAACCAAGGCCCAGATCAGCCACACTATTTGCATTCCTGATCACTGTCCATGGATGTGAAGGCTAGACAGTGGAGAAAGCTGACTGGAAGAAACTGCATGCATTGAAAACACTGTGCTGCAGGAAACTGACTTGTGAAAAGTAAAAGCACTTCCCAAATGTAATTGCCTTGCTTGTTCCCAAGGTTTGTCCTCTTTCTCGCATCACTTTAAAAGAAGGTGCAGACCACATGTGAATCCAAAAGAAAATTGGCCTCAGCACCAACCCACTTACTCACCAAGTTTCCATACTGCATCACATGGCTGGTGTTTGTGTGTTTCCTTACTAACAGAAACTGCTTATGGAGAGTTTCTTTTTTCAAATCCTCCTGTGGGTGAGAGAAAATAAAAAGACTTGCATGTAATCATGCAGATGCCTGAAACCTATTCATTCCTGCCTGGGGAAAAAACCCTAAGCAAACAGCATGGGTTCCCTGCTGAGACAGTAAACTAATAATTGCTCACCAAACACCCAATGTGCTGGGCCTCAATCACTGCTTGTACAGAGCCAGTAACTTAGAGGTGATCACTCAGAAAAATATTGGTTATCAGTGCTAAATGCTTGCATGTCTGCGCACCAAGCTGGCTTTTATTTTTATTTTCCAAAAAGGCAATGCACACTCTATAGAACACTGGCTTCTGTTTGGTAGCTCTGAAGGCCCAATCTGGCTCTGAGCACTTAACAAGTATCTCACACCAGCACCAAAAGAAAACAAATAGCAATGTTTAGTGTCAAATTATGGATTAACCTACAATTTGTGAGGATATGAGCATGGAACCTACTTCCTGTTGGTTTGACAACTTTCAGTGTATTGGAGGCTTTTTCCATGATATCCAAACACATGAATGTCCACAACTGATCCTGCCTGCATACCACAGAAACCATCCTTGAGTGTGGCATTCAAGGGTTATTACAACCAAAATGCTTTTCCACAACGCATGGGTTAATTAACCCACAGTTTGTTGCAAGACATTGCCATTATGTCTAAACAGGATCAAAACAATTCTTGGATTAAAATAAAGTAGTATTATGTCTGATAACTGTTAAAACGTATTTATAAAGTACTTTTCATGGCAACTCACCACATCAGAATCCTCCATCCAGTTGACACTGTACCAGTCACCAAGGTATGTTTCCCTTTGTTCATCATAGTAGCACGCATACGAAGATTCATCGGGGTTAGCCGCAGTAGTGGCATAAACTGTGAGAAAAATGGAAGAACACTATTGATTTGCTTCTCATGGTTAGTGTGCAATTGTGGACATGCTTGCTCCACAGTCTGATCTAAAACCAACTCAACAAAAGAGCCCTCTAAAAAATAATTTTCAAAAATGAATGGAGAAGTTACAGCAGGCAGGAGATCACCATGACACAATGGAGATCATGCCCATTCTGGCCACGGGAAACAGTGCATGCTGTATTCAATGTTAGTGCTACTCAAAGTAGACCCATTGATATAAATGAGGATTAAGTGGGACTACCATTAGATAGAATCCACTTGTCCCAATCTCAGTTAGGTATGTTGCTTTTAACTCTAGCTCCAAGTATTTCAACCGAGTTCGTCACAAACCCTATCTAGACACTTTAACCTCTGAAGAAGGTACCAAGAAAGTACAGGCTAGTTCCAACCCAAGATGCCAGTTAAGTGTAATGACCACACCAGTCCATCTGTGGTCGTTAAAAATCTTTAAAGTAGCTTTTATCAGAATAAACACACACACATTATGAAAGATATAAAATTTACAGCCAGTCAAGCATTGAGAGAGAACTAGTATAAAATTTTTTTTGGTGATATATTATTCCATGGATAAGAAGTATACAGGGAAGCGCTGGAAATGTAAAGAAGTAGAAGGTACATTTTAATGTATGTGATGGTCACATGATAAAATTAAAAAGTTTTGGAAATAAACACTTGCAGAAATACAGGAAACTTTAAAAATCAACGTTCCCATGACTGCTAAGACCATGCTGTTGAATATAGTTCCAGAAACTGCCTAGGAACATGGCAGAATTATTTAAATACATGATAACCGTGGCTAGAGTTTTAATTGCTTCAAAATGGAAAGCAAAAGAAAACAAAACTATTGAAGACTGAAAAAACAAGTTAGCTGACTATGCAGTAATGGCAAAATTAATTAATTATGCAAACAGAAAACTAGCCAAACAACGTTAAGTGGTAATTAATGATAAATGGAAACCGTACTATGTACAACTTACTTTATAAGGCACACACACTGGGCTCCATGCAAGTTAAACAGCCCTTTCACACATAGTACCCACAGGCACCAAGCACCTGACGATGATGACTGTGTTGCCAAATAGACCTATTAGAACATCTGTCATCCAGGTCCATTATAATAAATGCACATTCTGAAGGGACAGCTTTTTTGCCAAGACTAATTACAGCCAGCACAGTTTTAAGAGTTGCAGTTGAACTTTAGTAGCTAGGCTCTAAACTGTGGGAGTTCTGGCCTGTTCACCTGGATGGCAGAAATCACATTGTGTCTGTGGATAAGATCTGCCACCTACCAAGTACAAACCAAAATAGAATACATTTTATTTCTGAGTTCTGTTCCTAAAACAGTGTTGGACATGCCTCCCGCGCATCCAAGACAAGGATTTTTAGAGTTAGCTGAATTTTGTTAGCTCTTCCATGCACCTCAAATAAATATGTGCTGAAAGGGCAAAGTAACTTGGTAGCCTCTTGATATTTTGGACTACAGTCCTTATCAGCCTCCAGTTAGGATCACCAATAAACAGAGTATATGAAAGGCACCAGGCTGCCTACTACTGACCTCCAGCCATATTCAAAAAAGGGTTCGGTAGCAAAAGCGATTCTTGCAGTACTGTTTGAGGTACAAGGACTGCTGATTGATCGATGTATCTCAAACCAAAATGCTGACCCCTTGCTTACCATCAATGTCATCGGGCAGATGGTCCATCATAGATCCAGATTCACATGCTTCAATGTAAAACACCATCTGCAATTTGCATTAGATATTGTGAGACATTTTAGCCACTGCTTCAATAAGATCTGGAGAGTCCTACTGGGAAGTTTTCTGCTAAGTTTCCTCCTGAACCTCATTAACCCACACCTGATTGTATTCCATTCACTTTCCGTAACTATCTTACGGGCTAGCATGTATCTAGACTAGGGGTGCTGAATGTCTTTCATCCCAGTGATTAAGTTCCCAATGATTAAGTTCAAGATCTAGTGATGCTAGATAGGGAAGGGAGGCTGGCAGCCACACAACACGGCTTCCACAAAAACAGGTCCTGTCAAACAAACCTTGTGGAATTCTATGACAAGGTTTCGAGGTGACTAGATGGAGGGGATGCAGTGGATGTGGTATACCTGGATTTCAGCAAGGCCTTTGACAAAGTGCCCCATAATATCCTGGTGAAGAAACTGAGGAGTTTTGGGATACACCAAAGCACTGTCCGGTGGATTAGGGCATGGTTGACTGACCGAAAGCAGAAGGAAACCATTAGCGGGGAATCATCGGGATGGCAGCCAGTGACAAGCAGGGTCCCCCAGGGCTCTGTCCTGGGGCCGATCCTGTTTAATCTTTTTATCAATGACATGGAAGAAAGGGTGAACAGTCTGCTGATCAAATTTGCAGACGATACTAAAACTGGAGCAGTGGCCACAACTAAGGAGCGGGTACTCCAGATCCAAAAGGATCTGGACAGACTATGGAAGTGGGCAGGAGACAACAGGATGGCATTCAATGTGGATAAGCGCAAGGTCTTGCACTTGGGACGTAGGAATGGGTGTCCTAAGTACAGGTTAGACAACAAGTGGCTGGAGAGCAGCACTTGTGAAAGGGACCTCGGGGTACTGGTTGACTGCAGGCTAAACACGAGTCAGCAGTGTGTTGCGGTGGTCAAGAGGGCAAACGCCACCCTTGGTTGCATAGCCAGAAGCATGGCTTCTAGATTGAGAGAGGTATTACTACCACTCTATAAGACTCTGGTACGCCTGCAACTGGAGTATTGTGCTCAGTTTTGGGCCCCTCATTACAGGAAGGATATAGCCAGGTTAGAGTCAGTGCAGCGTAGGGCCACAAGGTTGGTGGCCGGTTTGCAGGGGATGCTGTATGAGGCGAGACTGAGGGAACTGGGTCTCTTCAGCCTGGAGAAGAGGAGACTCAGAGGGATACATTGGCGACATACAGGTATGTGAGGGGATGTCACATGGAGATGGGTAGAGATCTGTTCTCCCCTTCAGAGGAAGGCAGGGCACGCTCCAACGGAGCAAAGCTCAGGGAACCAAGGTGCGGGTGTTCAAGGATAGGCTGGACATGTGCATGGTGGGCATGTCGTGAGTGGAGCCGGCTGTCAGACTAGATGGCCCGGGAGGCCCCTTCTGACTCGCTCTGTTTCTTTGTTTCTATGTTTCAATTTAAAGGACATTTTCAGAGAACATGCTCCAGCTAGTGAAATCAAATGAAAATGGACAAAGGTAAGATGGGAGAGGCAAAATACCAAAAATAGCAACAGTTTAGCTTAACTCTTACTGACAGCAACTAAACTTTAGAGGAGTCATTTCAACATCTGAGAACTGGAGGTTGATGGGGAGCGAACCGCTCAAAAGCTGGGAAAGCAAAACATCAGTGGTTCTGTGGAAAGGGTGGGATCAAAAGAAGTGGAGTGTCATTTTCGGAATCCTAAAGGGATAGATTAGACTCCCAGATGGGCTGGAATTAACCACTGAGACAGAGATTCAACACGCAGCTCTAGACTTTCAGGCAAAGTTTGTAGCTTGCTGTAAAGTCATGATATCTATTGAATATCTTCCAACAAAGCCACAGCATGGTGTGATTAAATACAAGTTTTACAATTCCAACTGAATTTCCATTCTAACTGTATCATGTTTTAATTGGGACTGTTTATTATTCAGGTTGGTATAGGTGGAACAGAAGACTATAACCAATCTTACTACTGGCTCCAGGACACTAGGTATGTAGTACAATATGGAAAATTCTTCTTGGAATAAACTGCCAAGCAAGAAAAATTGCTTTGGCAAGTTATCACCATAGGAATGTTATTTGCAAAAGAAAGCCTATGACACCATTCTTTATCATACTGAAAACATGTTGTCTTTTCTGATGACAGGTGCAAAGCTTACAATGAAAGAGATAAACAAACCCCTCCTCTTGTGTCTACCTCTTCCTAACCTGGTGCCCTCTGAAAGTTTTGGATTCCTGGCCTGGGGTGAAGGCAGCAGAAGTCAAAACATCTGAAGGGTACCAGGCTCAAGGAGGCTATTTTATGCGTTTAGCTTGAATGCTATTATTTTCTTTTTTTTTTCCTTTTGCGTATAGTGGGAAAATAGCAAATTTACCTTCTTGTATTTCTTATGGTGGTGCATATATTGAATGGCCTTCTTCAGGGCTTGCACATGAAGCTGTAAAACAAGCAGATGCCCATTCAGATCCTATCACTATCCCATGGAGTAATGCGAAACAAACTATTCAAATGCCTGTTACATAGACACTCAAAGTACTTCAGATGAGTGATCAGCAACCCATCCAACAGCCAGCTATGACACTGTCAGGCTATCATCCCCATTCCTACGTTACAAATTGGAATGGGAGAGGAATGGGGAAGGCTGATCATTTGCAATTCTGATCCCACTTTGTTAAGAATCTCATTGGACATCTTTAGGAAAAACACTCTCAGCTGGACCAGCCTCACAGGTTGCAATACTTCTCGCTTTGGGGAACAATCTGCCTCTTGGTGCAGACCTTTTGCTTTCAGCACCTGCTAATGATTTTGTTTAGACAAACCTTCCCTGACTGACCAGCCATTATTTTATTACCATAATTGGTCTGAAGTATTTCAATTCCGATTTTACTTTTGTCTTTGTTTACCACTCATGAATCTTCAGGTATATAGTGATATACAAATTCTATAAATAAAAAATAAGGTCCCCAAAATTTAGTGCTTTAAAACTCAAGTCACACAGAATTTTAGGATATTGATACAACAGTCAAAATGTAAGGTAATAAATGACTTGTGTTTTTCAACCTTATGGCTATGATGATCTATACATTTCAAAGAGCAGATTCAAAAACTTGAAAGAAGAGCAGATTCAAAACTAAGATGCTAAATTGCTTTCCACTGGTGGAAGCATCCACTGTGAAGAGTTCTGCTCGTGGATGTTCCTTTTGGCAGGAGGAGGAAAGAGATTTTCAAATTCTCTTCCCACTGGAGCAACTAGTGCCCCACCATCTGCTTTTAGAAGACCCTGAGGAGCAGTGCAGGGACCTGAAAAAGGAAGTGAGGGAAAGGTGAAAATTGCTCCTGTATCTACTACAGGATCTTGGCTTGTCTGTGAACAAAAGGAGTTCTTCCATTCTTGGATATCTGGTTACATTCCAAGCCATTGCCCACAAGTGTGCTTAATAGTCACTGCAATTCACTATATGAAAGAGTTCATAGTAGCAGATGTTTGAGCTACTGCTTCCCTCAACGTCATTTCTTATCCAGTTTTCTGCATCAGTGACAGGAATCTGCTTTTAGCTGAATGCATAAGGTTGGGCTATGAAGAAGCAGCTACAGGGAGCTGTTTTTCCGCTACACTAAAACTGAACTGGGTGAAAGCTGCCCAATGACAAAGTGGGTGGCATCCAAGGTTGTCCATCCCCCAGAGAAAGGGAAACTACTTGACAAAACACCTTTGGAATGGGCTTCCTAGAGAGGTCCACCAGGCGCTGTCACTTCTTTCATTTTGGCATAGACATTTTGAGACCTGATTTTACTAACTGGTTGTTTTAAGATATCATGCACTACTAGCAGACAAGGGTTTCTCCCCCAAATTGTTATTAGGAATTGTACTGCTGTGTTTTGTGTTTTATTGTTGTATGCCACTTAGAGAGCTCTGTTGGGTTATTAAGTGGCCTATAAATGTAAAAGTAAGTAAATAAATAAATAAATAAATTAGACCCCCTCATTTCTTCATTGTAGCTCAGCAAATTTATTTGTGTGTGTGTGTGGTGGTGGTGGTGGTCGGGAGACACACCCAAAGGAGATTTGTGCAACCCATAGGGAATTGCAGCAGAAAAGGAGATACAGGAGAGTCTCTTGGAAAATTCCTTCATGTTACAGATGAAAATTGTTCAGATGTAAGATATTGCTGAAAACATGACGATATATATTACAAGGTCTCAGGCAGCAGGGTTGGGGAAGGCCTGTGCCACAAAGCTTGAACATTGGGCCAGCCAAACCTGTACCCTGATCTTCCACAGAAGCAGCTTCATAGGAGATGAAATCCAAAAGGATGTCAAGTTCAAATTTAAGAGTACAGCCGTTTCCAGACTTGCAAGTCAGCCAGAGACACATTCGCAAGTTTGGGGGGTAGGGGTAGAGAAAGTGACTTACATCACTTGAGGGGAAAGCCAAGATTCCAGGCGCACCGTGATCAGTGAAGTAGACAAATACGTGGTCTTTGGGGCCACTGCAGGCAGGGAAAGAGAGAGAAAGAGACATCTATTGACTTTCTGATCACTTATTAAACTTGAGACAATACTGGTGAAGAAAAGCCTCAATAGAATACATTCCAGCTGTCTTGATGTTACCTTCTTAGTACTCTTCCTGATCCTTTGTTCTTCACAGCTTCAGCATCTCCTTTCAGCACAGCAAGAAAGTTCTCTGGTGTTACATCCTACAGAGTGGTAGAGATTAGAAAATGAAACACAGCAGCAGCACACTTTTTAATTATTGTGTATCAGCTTCCACTTAACACAGCTATTTTTTCTGTATTTCTAAAGTGTTTTAGTAGCCCCATAACTAAGAATTCTCAGGGCGAGAGCCCATAAAAAACAAAGAAATAAAATCCTTGTAAATCAAATAAGAAAAATAAATTAAAAACAGCAGAGACTAGAATAAGCAGCACGAAAGACCCTATCTTCCTGCCATGGAGATAAAACTGACTAGAAGATAAAATGTACTAAAAAAACAGCATAAAGTAGCAATATGGGAGCATTAAAAGGTCCTTATCTTGCGTTGAGAAAATAAAGAAGGCACAAGGAAGAAATCTTGGGTGTATGTGGGAGGATGTGACTGAAAAGGCCTGCTTTACAGGAGGCTGGGTATGGCAAGGAACCTAGTACCTCAGCATGCAAAGAGAATCAAAGCAGGGCCTCTCACAATGATCGAAGGACTCAAGTAGCACTATTTATCCATCAGATACGATAGGTCCCAATCCTTGAAGACTTTGTAGATTAACATCAGCATGCTGAATTGGGCCTAGAAATGAACTGAGATCTAAGGAAATAGATAAATTTCACACATCACAAGCCTACCACGTTCAGCCTTCAGTGGCAAACCAGATGTTTTCCAGAAGCCTACAAGAGGACACGTGCTCCACAGCATCCTCCAGCTCATGTTCCCCAGCAAGTGGTGCTAAGAGGCCTATGCTGCCCATGATACTGGAGGTAATACATGGCCTTCGGGACAAGCAGCCCTATCCTACAATAATCTGCCTAGTTATCTTTTGAAAGTCATCCTGGGCGGTTCCAAGTTCTTTGGAAAGTTATCAGGGGTTCCTCCTCCTAGGAATCTGTAATGGTGCAGAGAGCCCATGGAAGCCAGTTGCTCATCACGCACATCTTCCTGAGAACACTGGGAATTTCTAGCTTGTACTTAGTTCCTACAGAGAGTCAAAAAGAGCAAATATTCCTCTGTAAAACTGCTGACATCCCATAGTCAATAATCAAAATATTCTTGGCAAACATAGAGGAGGAAAACCAGTAACACCAAAAAATACAACATTTCTGCCTCTCTACTTTGGTCCCAGCAAGTTTTCTGGGATCTTCATGTTAAGCATTGTTTCCTTTCTTTAAATGCAGGTGGGGGGCAACCTTTTAACCCCCAGGGACCACACACCCTCTCAGGATCACTGCTATTAAGCTTCCCCAAGCTTTGAAGGTAAAGAGAAAGGACTTTCATCTGGATTGTGGGGGAAGGTAGATTATATCTCCCACCCAGCCACAATGCTGCCCCAGCTCAGGCAGGGATAACTTTTGCAAAGGCAGGTCTGGCAAGGGTTGCACTTTCCAAGGGCTCTTCTGTCCTTGCATGGTCAGGGAGATGCTGCCACCGAAGTAGGGAAGGCCAGAGGAAAGATTGCCAGAGGGGCATGAGCCTCATAAAAGGCAGCAGAGGGTTGTCCACTCCTTCTTTAAGGTTAGAGAGGGGACAATACTAGTCTTCCTAGCCCTGGTTCCTTCAGAAGCTTGAGCAGCAACAGAGAAGGGAGGAACGGAGTGCAAACTACTGTACTAACATAGCAACTGAGTCCTGGAGTGACATATGATCTAAGGCAGCCTTTCCTGATGTGGTGGCCTTCAGAGCATTTGGACCACAACTCCCACAATTCCCATCCAGCAGGGCCATTGGCTGGGAATTCTGGTTCTTGCAGTCCAAACATTTCTGGAAGGCACAAGCTTGGGGAAGCCTGACCTAAGATGTTATTTTTTGCAGCATAAGATTGTGGGATAGAAGTTTATGCAATAGTGCGCCTGCTAGACTTGGCCTCTGTTACAAGCTACACATCATGAGATGATCTTTTCTAAACAAGGGCAAGACTATGTGTGCTTTGAGGTTGGTGCTTCAGGAAATGCACCTGTACTTTTATTGGGTTCCCTAATTCTGGAATTAAAGCAGGACGCTGAGAGTGCATTTGCTTAAATCCAGAGTGGCAAAAGTGCAGCTCCTTGGAGTTTGTCCTGCTAGCAAGCCCAGCCAGCATAGCCAATGGTGATGTGATTTGGAATCTAAGAACACCTGGATGGCCAGATGTTTCCTATCCCTGTTCCTACAAAACCAAAAAGCAGAAGTGATCAAGCCAACTGTTAGATTCGGGGAAACAAGCACACTCAGGTTAAAGTCAAGAACGCTGCTTAAATGTCAGCGTTTTAACAACAGGTTTGAGAATGATCAAAGAAACACAAGTATATAACAAGTAACTTCTGAAACTCCAGAGAGTTTTTAAAGACATTGGCATTAAAGGGTTAGGTGACTAGTCACACAAACAAGTCCTTGGGCACATCAAAAGGAGCTTCTTAGTACTCAACACAATCAATGCTTATGGGTCAGCTCCTACTGCCTATTCTATTTTCTACAACTGTTTTTATTGCTAGGTAAATGATTCTCCCTGCTCAAGAGCAGGCAAGTTATAACAGTTATTCATTCTCTTAATGAAACTCTTCATTTGAAACCGAAGTTAAAGATCTTGGAAGACTCATGTTAAAAAAGCTGGTAGAAACTTCAAGAGATCATCTTCTAGTGGATTAATAAAGCAGAATTTCAGAAACAGTTTGGTGTTCAGAACTAAAAATTTCCTGGGCCACGAAGCAAGGAAATCCTACCTCTTTAACGTAATCCTTTAGTGTTCCATGGTACACATCTGAGCCATTAGGCCTATTGATTATGATGCCTTTGGTTGGGTTCCTGGAAGTTGGGGAATGGAAAATGATATTTTAAGGAGTCAATTTTCCCTGACTTTAACAAGCTACCTTGATATAAACATGCAAGGATCTTAACATAGCAACTGAACTGTGTTGATACTGGACAACTGAACATATTAGTTCTTGAAAATCTATTTTAATGATAGCTTGGCATATTTACGAATTATCATACAGACTTCGTACAAGATACACTTGCCCTATACCCCAATTTCCCCATAAGCCAATGCAGTTGTGCCAAGGCAGCCTTAGACAGATGAAGCATTTTGCATGTTATTTCCATTGCCCCAAAGCAATGCTCTCTAGACATAAAAGGTAAAGGTTTCCCCTTGACATTAAAGTCCAGTCATGCCTGACTCTAGGGGGCGGTGCTCATCTCTGTTTCCTAGCCGAGGGAGCCAGCGTTTGTCCACAGACAGTCTCCGTGGTCATGTGGCCAGCATGACTAAACACCGAAGTGCACAGAACTCTGTTACCTGCCCACCGAAGTAGTACCTTTTTACCTACTTGCATTTGCATGCGTTCAAACTGCAAGGCTGGCAGGAGCTGGGACGGAGCAACAGGAACTCACTCTGTTGTGCAGATTCGAACTGGTGACCTTTCGATCAACCAGCCCAGCAGTACAGCGGATTAAACCACTGCGCCACCTGCAGTCCCTTTCTCTAGACATTTCTCTAATATGTCTAGTCTCTAGACATAACAGTGCACAAAAACAGTTGACAAATACAAAAAATACTGCTTATTCAATATGCAAAGTTTAAAGACAATTTAATACCTAAAACAACTTTAATACAACTTAGATCTTTTAAAACAACTGGCACAGATGTCCCATCATGTCTGAAAACATGGTAGAGTTGGCACAATATGGGCCTGAATGAGGAGGTCACCACTGAGAAGGTCCTCTCCCTTCTTGATACCCTCCAAGCCTCATGTTGGACGACTGAATCACTCAGCCCCATAGTGGTGAATGGAGCTTAATAGCCCAATTTAGATGCAATGCCAAGCCACAGCTTAACAGTAAGCTTAACAAGCTGATGCAAGCCTCTGGATCACACGAACTTTGTATGAATGAATAAATTGAAAATTTGGTTAGTTGACGCTATCTGGATTTCCCTCTTTCTGTGGAACACAAGAGGCTAAGGAGTCATGTGAAATTGCCAGGAAGCTGTGATGAGCTAGCAGCAAAAGCTAGAAGCAAGTGACACCTGCAGTTCTGCAAAAGCACATTAAAATACCTTGTGACAGAAATACTAGGCTCAAATTCAGTGTCTCTGCTAAGGTGGTGACAAACAGCATATGGATTCCATTCTCTTGTCAAAGGTTGTTACTTACTGCTCATTCTCAGCGATGTCATCATACATCATAACAATAATCTGTTCATCTGGAATGCCATTTCGGTGCACAATTTGGTATGCATGGCATGCATCAGCCTGAAAGACACAGAACAGTTTTCTTTACTGATTGCTTTTAGGGGTGGTATGAGCAGGGAATAAACTGCAGTCTTTGCAATGGATTTTGCTCAGAAAGTCTCTTTCACACAAAGGAAGTCTTGAATCAGTTCTTCAAGACAGACGCACACACACAGAGATCACTAAAATGCTTACAGATGTACAAGCAAAGTCATCCTGTTGCGACATTTGTGCAAACCCAACTGTGTGCTCAAAAACAAGTTGTGTAATGCTAACGATAGGTCTATAGCACTTCATTGGAGGCTGCTAATGCTTTAAGTTGTAGCACTTGTGTTTGAGAAACAGTCCTTATGGTGATCTCGCCTGGCAAGTGCTGGTAGAACTGCAGCCAAAATGAGGTCACAGGGAAACGAGAGAGGGGCATCAGCGTGCTTGGGGAACCCCAAGATATGGAAAAATAAGTCTTTCGATACATGCCAGTAGCAAACAAGCATGCTCAGCTGTCACAGAACACTGAGCTTCTGATCGGGAAGCAGAAGGAAAGCCTGGTTTGGGGGAGGGAGGCAGAGGGCGGGAGAGGGGCAATGCAAGTATCCTGGAGCATGGCATGGCCAGCTGGCAGGTACACTGCAGCTTTTGTTGCATGACTTCTTTGGTCACAGGAAATGGAAGCTGCAGTTGCCTCCTGCTATATCCTCCTCTGTAGCTAGTCAGCTTCTCTCACTGCACAGCAGCCTGGCAGCAGAGCTGTGAGACGGTGTTGTGTATGACTTTACCCTCTGTATCAGAAATGAGTGCAACAAAGGTGTGATGTGGGGAATCCCCAGACAACAGATTAAATGCCCAGTTGTGGGTAGCTACCTGAAACTACATATATATGCCATTGCAGAGTGGAGCAACAGAGCATGAGGGGGTGAAGGGGCAAAGGCTGCAAACCGAAGCCAGTTTGGAGGCAAATTTGTTATTTGTGTTCTTCTGAATTTCTTTTGTTTGCTATTGGGAGAGTAAAAAACAAACAAACAAACCTGCCACCTATAAAGAAATTATGGGTATGGATCAGCCCCAAAGAAACTCAACATCTCACTGTAACCTGTACTATAGCAAGGCAAGATGCTCCAAACTCAAACAGGATTGGAGCAAAGCAGTTGGTGGTGATGAACCAATTACGCGAATGCTGCTTCTATACCATGTGGGCAAAAGATGCTGCACAGCTGCTGGGTGGTCTGTACCAGATCCTATAGCCTGGAATTATGATGGACTGCAGTCATGCAAAGAGAATGAGCAACGAACCTCAGTAAACACCTTTTCATTTTCTTGCTTACCATGGAGAAAGGGGCAAAGTGCATGACACCACATTTCTGTTGCACAATACACTAGAGTTCTTTTTCAAAGTACTTTCAAAGGAGGAAGTCCATTGCACAACCACTTTGGCCAGATTGTGTACCAATATCCTGTTCAAACTAGCAGAGATTTTTTTCTTTTCTCCCTTATTGGTGTGAAGTGGACCCAAGGAATTTTGAGAACAGCCTCTCTGTTGACCATCAGTAATGAGCAGATTGGTATAGGGAGAGGTACTCCTACATGCTATTCAAGGCTCATACTATTTAAAACCGTAAAGGGAAGCACAAACACCTTGAATTGGGCTCAGAGGCAAACAGGAGGCCCCATGTATAATGCATTACAGTAATCCAGCTGGGAGGCTGCCAAGGCATGAGGGACTATGAACATAATATCCCCCGTTCAGGAGGAGTTACAGCTCACCAACCCTCTTGGCACTCCTTGTCACAGAGTGCCCACTTGAGCGGCAAGTGACAGTGTGGAATCAAGGCATGCTGCCTAAGCTACACACTTCATCTTTTAGGGCAAGTGCAACCCAACTGAGGGCAAGTGGTACACCTTGTTCTAGAGACCAGCCACCCACACCCCCTCCATCTTTTCAGGCTTCAGCATCAAGCTTTTCAGGATTCATCTAGCACGTCACTGCGTTCAGATTATAGATCACCACCTGCACAGCCTCACCTAGGTGACAGGGAAAAATAGAGCTGAGATGGCACTTTCCTCCTAAGTACCTCACTTAACAGCATCATTAACATTTTCCTCAGAAGGGAAAAGCCTACATATAAGCTGCTTTACACATGTTCCTCCTAACTATACCTGCTCTTTGTCGCTCATAAAAGGGCATATGAAATCTTAAATACATTCTCATGTGAAGATTGAATCATTTTAATTCTAGCCGAAGTATTCACTCTGAGATGCTGTAACTTTCCACTGATCTTTTCGGGAGCAATGTTTGTGTTGAACCCTTGGAGATGGATGCCTCCAATCTATGAAAGCTTCCTCACATCCAGCGGCTTACCAGGAGAAGCAAGACAGGCAATTTCCACCTCTTCATCAGCCCATTTAGAGAGGTTATGTGGTGCAGGGGGGACAAGAGTGGCCATAGGATTCTTTGTACCCTGGTCCTCCACCCCCTACCGCAGCATCCTAGAACTCTGCAAAGAAAACTCGAATCTCTCCTGCAAGTTGCAGCAGTCTCCTTGGCCTTGGATGGAGCCTCCAAAGGATCCTATGGTTCTTTGAGAACATCCTGGGATGCTGTCTTATGAATCACAGGATTGCTGCTTTAGCCAACTATTGTTACTCCAAGCAACTAGTGGAAAATAGGACCAAAGCATTTCTCATAAAATCAATGTATGTTTCAGATAACCAATTATTCTTCCTTCTAACAGGTTAAGATAGTACTGTTAATATTTTCTGCTTATGATAAAAATGAGGTAAGATGACAAAATATTTTGGGAAGTATTTCAATATTTTGAAAGCAGTTCCAAGCTAAATTAGCCCAAAGACAAGCAAGAGAATTCTGGGATTACTTAAAATAAAGCTATTCCATTTTAGGAACTTAAAGGAAATTTATTCTAGAGCAGTGCAGACAAGAAATGAAATGCCTTATTCCCAAATAGGAGGTAGGAAAGAACAGCTAGTTATTAATGCTGAGCTAATGTTCTATTTTTTGTTAGTATCACATAAGGAAACATAAATATTAGAATTTGTCCGCTTCAGGATCTGAACCCACATTTCCTTGGTGACACTTTGATCTGGAGGAGTGGATCAGTTCATTTCTGATCAGCTATAATGAGAAGTCACTCCTCAGAATCAAGGCAATGGCAAATTCATCGGACAGCATAAGAGGAACCATGCTGAGACCAAGGGTCCATCTCATCCAGCATTCTGTTCACATAGTGGCTTGCAGGAAACCCATAAGCAGCACATAAGTACAATAGTGCTCTCCGGGCTTCATATAGATGTTAAAAAGCATAGACCAATATGTAAACCTCAGAAGACCACAGTTTAGGTGCTATGGAGTCAAGCAAGCTGCCCTACTGTGCCACTTTCTAAAACCAAATCTGTGGATAGGAGCAATACTATCACACCACTGTTATCTCCAACACCTAAGCCGCAGAGTTGGTGGTGTGAGATAACATAAGAATATAAGGATTATGGAGGATCTAGCCCAGCATTCTGTTCATTCAGTGGATAACCAGCTGATTGTGGAAGCCCACAAACAGGACATGTGTACAGTAGCACCCTCCCGCTACTATGATCAGTGGTATCAAAAGCTGTTGAGGCACCTAGGAACATGATAAACATGGTCCCCTGACTGTTTGCTCTGGAAGAAATAATTATGCAAGATGCTAAATCATGCAGACAAGGGCAACTATTATAAGCTTTCTGATGCAAACCTATGCAAATAACTTTCATTTAAGAGTCTACAGCTCAGGCAGTTTGCATCTTCTTCCACAACTCTAATGCTATTTTTAACCTCATCTGTTTCCCCTTGATTCAACTTGAGTTTACTGCAATTGGAGTGCAGGCTCCTACTCAGTTTCATTTGGGCAATGCAGTTTCACCACCACAGAAGGGAAGAGAGGCAGTACATGAGCTCTACATATCTAGCACAACTAATGCGGAAGTCAGTGCGGTGCAGTGGTTAAGAATGGAAGACTGAGACTCAGGTGAACTGGGTTCAAGTTCCTGCTCAGCCATGGAGCCAACTGGGTGACTTTGACCCAGTCACAGACTCTCAGCCCAACCTACCTCACAGGGTTATTGCTGTGGGGATAAGAGTGAGAGCAAGAGGAGGAGAATGGTGTAAGATGCCTTGAGTTCTTTCTAAGAAAAAAGGTGGGACATGAATGAATGAACAAACTTGGAGACCTGGAATTTTATGCTAGCTAGCACAAGCAAATGGATGCACAGGAATCTCGCTCCACTATATTGCAATAGCAAAAAAAAAAGTTATAACCAACCCCCACAGATTGCAAAGGCAAACTCCGAGGGTTGCAATGTTTAAGTCAATTAGTGAGATTAGTTTGTCTGCAAGCCAGATGGCTGATGCTATCATCCCAATAATTCCTTAAGTTCATGGTTAGCAGCTTTCCCCAACCTGGAGCCCTCCGGATACTGTGTGTGACATCTAGCATTCTTGAGGGCACCAAACTGGGGAAAAGCGAGGTACACAGATTCAACGCTTTATCACCGCACCGTCACCATGTGCCAATTCCTTCTGGTGATAAGGCACTGCACACAGGACCCTGGAGCTCACCACTCTTCTTCCAGTGCGGCCCATTGACACTTGACTATGAAGAAAACAAAGCAAGGCACACAGCATGCGAAAGCCAACCGCTGGCATAGGGAAAGAGATTAGATTAGATTCCACATTGTGACCTCCTTTTATCCAGTTAACTTTATATATTAAAGAACTCTTACCTGGTGTCTGTAGTTGTACCAGCCATTTGAGCCAGCAACAATCACAACCCAATGCTTTCCCCCATCTTCAGGATCCTCTAGAGGAAGGGCACTGATTCCCAGGATGCAAATCAGCAGTCCAGCTAGCTTCAAAGCCATTTTCTTCCTTTGTCACTCAAGAACTACAGAAACTGTGGAAGAGCAAATGAAGTATCAGACTCAAAAAAGCCATAACAATAGAACTATAAAATTTAATAACTAGCTTTCTCAATCCCAGGGTTGTTTCTGTTCTCCAAGACCTGCTCCCTTCCTGTATCCCAAGTGCCCTTGCTACACTGTAGTATTAGCATGTAAAATGCCTGATAGGCTGCTCTTGTCCATGCCTCTGTAGCCTGGCAAAATCACCAATGAACAACCCAAGGTTCTGAGTTCACACATGATAACAACCTATGGTTTAAAGGAGACATGGACTCTCTTTCAAAGACTGTTTATGGTTATGAAACCATAGCTTGTTTGCAAGACCATGTACATCATGATAACTTCTAGGTTGCTGAATTCTGGGTTAAGTTAGAATTTTGTGTTTACCATGCTTCTGATAGTTGCCAGGGGTTGTCATTACAGGCAGGGCAAACCCAAGGCTGTGATTTAACTATGACTCATTAACCATGTACAATTCATGAAGTGAGTCCATGTGTTGTTTAAAACATGCACTTTTACACAGACTCAGAACACTGGATAGTTCATTAGAGTCAACAGGTGAGCGCAGTCAACCTCTAATGCCAGTACTGCAGAGGCATGAGGGACAGAGGGAAGGACAGGCAAAAAAGAGGGGAAAACCACCCAGAAATTAAAAACAAAACAAAAACAAAAGCTTATGCTTACTTGACCACTCGGCAACCAAATATGGGTTAACTCTGAGTAAGGCAACAGGCCATTGGATAAATCATGGGCTGTCAGTATAAGTGAATCAAATCATGGGATACTAACTATTCTAGACTGTTGCTTGAATTGGCATTAGTTTAACAAGACTTGGGCTAGGTTAATGAAGGCAACGTACCTTCTGCAAGTTTATTTAGAATTGTGTTATCCCGAGCTAGATAGGCTTATTCATGCATAAAATGTGCATAGGATTGTAGCATTGCACTTCTACTATTCCTGTAGCAATTAAACTTACTGGATACCAGCTTCCTAATATTTTTTATATTTCATTTCTTTAATCAAGTCTACCTCCTCATTGAGAAAATGGATAGATTTGCCCACTTCAAAACCAAGAAAAAGGAACAGACATTAATGGAAAGCTGGTAGGGCACTGCAGATCTTTAGACAATGCATTACATCATGACAAATCACTGTTCTACACTTGCCAAGTCATCCTGTCATAAATTGAGCAGACAGAGCAAGTCTGCAGTGTTCTTTAAGGTGGAGGAAATGAGAACACCCAAGTCAAGTAGGATGCAAAGAAAACTGACTAGAACTTGTCCTTGCATGGTATTCACTGGCTTGGGTCAGTACACAGTAGATGTACTCAACACTGCTTTACCTAGAAAGGCAGCAAGAATTACTTTTCACAAGCCCTAGTGAACAGATGCTGAACTTCAGGCCTAACACTGTGCCAGTCAAGCTTAACTGGGATTCCCAGGCTGCCATGCTTCTTTTGCTTAGCTTCATCTTCTCCCCACTGAAGAGAGATCTGTGGATGGGTTCCTAGATTTTACATTGCCCCCTCCCCCAATTCTAATATGCTGGAATGCCTCCCTTAAAGCATTACTGGCAGCAAGAATTTTAAGCAAAAGTACTAATATCTCAGCCCTATTCTAGAATACATTCCTCAACAGTTTCTCCAAAATTGAGTTCATCCCTCTGGCTGAAAGAGGTTCAGTTCTCCTGCTCTAGCTATTGTAATGAGATAATGAAGTTAAGCACATGTGCTCTGGCAATGTGATTTAAGCAGGTTTAGAAGACTGAGATACCATCAAGATCTAAATAATAAAAAGCCTTAAAACTTGGGTGTATTCTGTCCTATACCTTTTCCCATGTTGATGATTCAGCTCTTCCATCTGCAATACTTCAGTATTCTCTCTCTGCTTTTTAAAAATCTATCATCTTCAGGGAATCAATTCCATAATCCATTTGCCCACTGTTGTTGTTGTTAGTTGCGAAGTCGTGTCTGACCCATTACGACCCCATGGACAACATTCCTGCAGGCTCTCCTGTCCTCCACCATCCCCCGGAGTCCACTCAAGCTTACACCAACTGCTTCAGTGACACCATCTAACCATCTCATTCTCTGCCGTCCCCTTCTTCTTTTGCCATCTATTGTTCCCAGCATTGGACTCTTCTCCAGGGAGTCCTCCCTTCTCATTAGGTGGCCAAACTATTTGAGTTTCATCTTCACTATCTGGCCTTCTAAAGAGCAGTCAGGGTTGATCTCCTCTAGGACTGACCAGTTTGATCACCTTGTGGTCCAAGTGACTCGCAGGAGTCTCCTCCAGCACCACAATTCAAAGGCCTCAATTCTTCAGCACTAAGCCTTCCTTATGGTCCAACTTTCACAGCCATACATTGTAACCAGGAAAACCATAGCCTTGACTATATTCACTTTTGTTGGCAGGGTGATGTCCCTGCTTTTTAGTATGCTGTCTAGATTTGACATAGCTTTCCTCCCCAGGAGCAAGCGTCTTTTAATTTCTTGGCTACAGTCCCCATCTGCGGTGATTGTGGAGCCCAGGAAAATAAAATCAGTCACTACCTCCATTTCTTCCCCATCTATTTGCCAGGAAGTGAGAGGACCAGATGCCATGATCTTAGTTTTCTGAATGTTGAGTTTCAAGCCAACTTTTGCACTCTCCTCCTTTACCCGCCTCAAGAGGCTCTTTAGTTCCTCTTCACTTTCTGCCATTAGAGTGGTATCATCTGCATATCTGAGATTGTTGATATTTCTCCCAGCAATCTTAATTCCAACTGGTGATTCATCTAGCCCCGCCTTTCTCATGATGTGCTCTGCATATAAGTTAAATAGGCAGGGCAACAGTATACAGCCTTGCCGAACTCCTTTCTCAATTTTGAACCAATCAGTGGTTCCGTGTCCAGTTCACACTGTTGCTTCTTGACCCACATATAGGTTTCTCAAGAGACAAACAGTGGTTCCGTGTCCAGTTCACACTGTTGCTTCTTGACCCACATACAGGTTTCTCAAGAGACAAATAAGATGGTCTGGTACTCCCATCTCTTTAAGAACTTGCCACAATTTGTTGTGATCTACACAATCAAAGGCTTTAGCATAGTCAATGAAGCAGAAGTAGATGTTTTTCTGGAACTCCCTAGCTTTCTGCATGATCCAGCATATGTTGGCAATTTGATCTCTAGTTCCTCTCCCTCTTCGAAATCCTGCCTGTACTTCTGGTAGTTCTCGGTCCACATACTGCTGGAGCCTAGCTTGTAGGATTTTGAGCATCACTTTGCTGGCATGTGAAATGAGTGCAATGGTGTGGTAGTTTGAAGATTCTTTGGCTTTGCCCTTCTTTGGGATGGGAATGTAAACTGACCTTTTCCAGTCCTCTGGCCACTGTTGTTGTCCACTGAGGAAGCCCCAAATTATTGGAAAGGATTCCGAGATGTGGACCTAGTTTGTATCGACAGCTGGCCAGACCTTTTGGAATCAAGCTATCCTGCCCTCCCACTCCCATGCACACACAGCAAGCACCAGAATATACCAAGACCTGCCTGAAGTCGTGTGTTTGTGAGAAGATTAGTAGCAGCAAGAAGACCAACTTCTAGAAAAAGTTAGTGTGATATTAGCAAGCAAGTAAACAGGGGTCTTCAGAGCACTGCTTGAAAACCATGACTTTACCCAACACATCTTGACTGGCTTTCTTGGATCAAATAGTCATCACCACAATGATTTCAGATCAGCTCTCCTCTCTTCCCACCACCCCAGTCTATTTCAAAAACAGGCCTATGCTGAAACAAGCCCAACCCATCTCAGAACTGGGAGCAGCAGGCTGCATCTTGCTAAAGAAGCTACAATTCTACGCACTTACCCAGAAGTCAGTCTACAAGACCTTCATCTGACTAGTGCGTGCTTAAGGATTGTGCCGCAAATCACAGTCTAGCCTGGCAGAACACATGTACCAATCATTCATGACAGCACTGCTCAGTGAAGAGACTAAAGGAGGAAGGCCACTCTCTAGTAGGATGCAGTACAACTTGGCAGGAAGTTCACTACACCACAAGCTGCTGCTCATACTTGCTACTCTAACAGGCAAGGTAAAGCTGACTTCATCCTAGTTGGCCTAGTCTGCAGCTACTGGCCATGTATTGCCTGGATGGCACCTCTTCCTACTTCACTCTGGTTATGGTAGCAGCACCAGAGGCATTTACCTGAGTTGCCTCACTGATGCCGAGAGGGCAGATTTAGAAAAGGTGCAGAAAATTGCAACTAAAATTATTCAGGAGCTGGAATGATTCCCCTATGCAGAAAGGTTACAAGGCCTGGGACAGTTTAGAAAAATAGCAAATAACAGGAAGCATGACAGAAGTATAAAAACTATGCTTGGAGCGTCTCTTCCTCATATAATACTGGAATCCAAGGTTATCCAATTAAGTGGCTGCTCAGGACAGATGAAGGAAGAATTTCTTCACACAGCGCAAAGTTAAAGGGTGATGTAGTGATGTTTGAAACCAGTTATGAATGGTTTCAAAAGGGGGTTAGACAAATTCAGAGAGGGTACGTTTAACAATGGTCATGAGTCATGGTGGTTATGCATTACTCTATTATCAGAAACAGGATATCTCTGTATAGCATGAACACAGATGCAAGGATCCTAGTGCACTCATGTGATAGCACTTCCCCTAGTTGGCAGCTGTGCAAAAAGACCCTTGAAAGATCAGTGGAGGGTGCTTCTTTTTTCCTTCTGTGCAACTATCAGTTATAAGCCAGCTATTAGCAGAAACCAGTTATAAAAATAAAAGCCACAAACAGCCTATTTGAAAGGGAACGACTGAGAAAGGATTCCCACCCTCCAAATCATCAGTTTTACTCTGCAATATTGACCCACCATTATAGACCTGCTGCCCCCTTTTTTGATCTAGCACAGATTCTCCTGATTCCATATGCATTTTAGCTAACAGTCACTAATGGTGCAAGCTTACACACAGAAGTAAGCCCCAGTCTCTGTGTTCAGTGAAGCTT